TTACCGACTGCATTCACACGATTCCGGGACAGAGCTTTGCAATTTATTGCCGCCGGGGGAACGATTCTTTCTTGAGTCATTGAATGCCGCACTTGAACAGGATTTTGTGGAATAATTGGACATCATGCAATAAACTTACAGGTGGCAGTTACGATGGAAAGTACCAACAAGGCGTGTGAGGAAGTTTTCTTAATACTTAGAAAGATAACATTATAGATATATGTCCCAAGAACTTTTATTAGCATTTCCTATTGTTTTCAACCCGTTCGTATACAAAAAAGTATATAGTATAGTATTTACCATCAAATATATTTGAATTAATTTATATTGATTAATTTCAGATCAATTATTAAACGGCTTGCCTAGATACAAGATGCGTTTGAAATCGATTTGTTTTACTTCTTAAATCATCTTGTTCAATTAGTGCCTGGGTCTCTTGTTATCAACTACGTTGCTGGCCAGCTGATTGGGCATACAATTAGGGTTTAATGCGCCACCATCTAAAGGAGGGAGACCCGGTGGGGGGAAATTGGGTGGCAGAGGCCCAGAGTTCTCCATATTCCGAGTAGAATACTTGAAAATTAAAAAAAAAAACAATAAAAATATGTGTTATTCAATAATAATACTAAGTTATACTGACTCTTGGTCGATTATATGTTTGCGTCTGTTGGTATGGGTACCGGTACTGGGTCTGGGCACTGGCGATTCCTAGGAGAACGCAGCTGATTATCAAAATTGTAATAGCTATTTTGGCCGACATATTAAGATCGATTTGAGAGGCTGGAAGTCACTGAGACTTTGCAGGTCACTCGGTTCGTATTTATAGCATTCTGATAAGAACGTCATTTTCTTTATCAGTTGCACGAGCGGAATTCAAAATTAGTCCGTATTGCAATTCTTAAGAAATGTGATAAGAGTTCCTGCTCTTTTGCAATCAGTTATTGGAAGGTATGTTTCCATGAAAAATTTAATTGATTTATTTGTAAAGTGTCAAGGTCACTTAGTAGGCTAATCTTATAAACTTGACGCCAAGGAACATCTGTTCTATTTCTTACTAAACCTCCCAAGTCTATTGGTCCAATTAAATGCATATATAACCTGTTATTATTTTTCTTTATAAGATGTTATAACGTTACTTAAGGGTTGATTTTAAGGTAAATGATCATTAAAAGCTTAACCAGAACTAAGGGACAAAACCCTTAGCCTAGAGTCAGTTTCTGAGTTTTATTTACTTTCCTTCTATAAATATTAAAGATTTAAATAAAATGCTAAAATCATGACTAGAATGTTATAAAAAAAAAAAACTATGTATATGAAGAGTTTATTTCTTTATTGATTGCTTATGCGGTTTTAAAATAACAATAATTTAGCTTGTTTAAAAAACTTTTTCCAGTTTTATTTTAAAAACAAAGTGGAATTGAATGAAATACATTTAAATAACATGTCTTTGAACTGCTGCCTTGTTCTACTTTGTCTTGGAGCCAGGTTTCTTGTTGTCCTTATTTCCACTTGCCAATTCATTGGGCAAGCAATCCTCATCAAAGGCATCACCACCTAAAAATCCACCACCCAAAGTACGAACTTTGGCCTAAAGAAGAGTAATACAGTTTGGTTAAAATATATTTTTACTTAATTAATTAAAAATGTAACTCACATTTGGCGACTTGTACAAAATTCTCCTAAGATTTGTTGGGTATTGACGTTGCTGAGGGTGCCTTCCCTGCTGAGCACGTGCGATTCCCAGGAGAACACAGCTAAGGAACAGCATGACAAGGGCGAACTTAGGCGACATCTTTAGCTTGACTTGAGAGGCTGTGGGATACTATGACTTTGGTTGAGAAGAGGCTAATATTTATACTGCTTTTAATGAAGTCGTGTAAGCAGGGAAAACATATATTCCTATTCAATTCCCTAGAAATAGTTTTGCTAATTTCCCATCTCTAAAGACTGTTCATGGCTTTTTATGGGGAAAGCATAATACTCATTAATTTAGTTAAGACTTGGAAAAAATATTACGTGTTAACTAACATAGAAATCGATCGATTCACTCTGACAGTAACCCTTAGACAGCAAAACACCTCTTCCATAGTTAATAAATTGTCCAATATTTAAATCGGTTTTTAAAAACGAACCTTAATTCAATTTCCTATCGCCATCATAAATGTAATTGAGTAATGCTTTTCATAGCATGTTTGCATCACTTTTCAGTGGGCTGTCTTCCATATATGGACATTCTCGATGTAAATCTCCGTTTCCCTAATGTTTTCTGTGACGTCAGCCATTTACTATTTTTAGTTTTCAGCATTTGAACTTTTTGGGAAATGTTGTTTATTTTTGTTTCTATTCAGCGACATGCGCTTCCCTTTAGGCCCATCGCAGTTATTTTGGCAGGCGGCCAAAGGGCCTCCATATAGCCGTTTCCATATAGAGCCATATATATTTGTGGACCCGGTTTATCCTCCTAGTGGAGTCGAGTTGAGTCGCAACCTTTTTGATTAGATTACGCAACGTAAAACTGGTTTGCAAATTGAATAAATGACTTTTGCGTTGCCAATATAAAACGTGTTTGAAATTTTTGATTAGGCAAACACACACACCCAGACACACAGAGTACACGATTTTAGACCTTTCAAGCGTACCAACGAAAAAAAAAAACAAAATAAAATGAAATAGAATAGAATACAACAAACAAAAGCGGTGGCGACAAAATGAACTGAAATGGCAGAGGACGAAAATGTCCTGGGCCGTGGTCGAACTCCATTTTTCCACGTCACTTTAGAGGGGCTCTGCGAACCGAATGTAATTTGTCAATTTTGTTGGGTGGCCAGGCGGGCAGTTTGTGGTTTTGAGACTAGGAAGGGCCCAATTAAAATTCATTAAACGTAAATTAACATTGAAGTCGGGTATTATAAATTAACTAGAGGCCCCTACGAACGACCTCGGAAACCTGGCTAAAAAGAGAAAGCCAATTGAATGGGGATTTGAGAATCTAGAACCTGGATGCACGAATTCTCAGCCCTAATTATATAATTTACGCGAAATGTACAAATTTAATCTTAAGAATATGGAAAAGAAAATACATTGAACGTAACTTTTAGCAAAGAAAACAAATATTAACTTTTGCAGTGAAAAATTCTAACCCATTAAAATTATCTACTCCTTCCAATCACGATTGAGCTTGCTCAAGAAATCGACGATGCCAAGTTTCTTATTTGAGGCGCGCAAATCGTGGATGCCTAAATCCAATTCAGGCTTAATGAGCTGTGTAATATTTGCATTTTGTTCACACCCCTAGAGAAGTAATTTCGGTGACTGCGCCAAGAACTAGGCAAGGCTTTATTTTTCTTGGCAAAGTGCCGTCCGGCAAATGTGCTGCAATTGCTTCAGCATTTACGTTAACATTCGTTTTCCCTTGCCTTTTTTTTTTGGCAATCAGAGGAATAGAAGACAGGATGAGAAGGAAAAGGGCGACATAAATCCATTACAGATTGTGAATGCGAAATAAATCAGAAGCCATAATTCAATATTAAATCACTCATACGCCAGGTTAAACCAATTGCAAATGGTGAATGCATCTCTGAGAGGGGCACAACAAGCAGGACAATTAGTGTGTCACTCACTGCGGAGAAGAAAGGAGGGAGAAATGAGAAATGGGTTGTGCAGACTCCGCTTTTAGCCAAATGAAAACCTCAAATGTGAATTCTAGCTTGGAAACTCTTCTCGGGCAAAATCAACAAAATATTTCAAAATAACAAATGTGTCCATTGGTACCGGGTTAGACGTTCTAGTAGGACAGCAGCTCCAATGACAAAGTGCTTGCAAACGCACAATATTTGTCTAGGTCATGCATATCACAATCCGGTCTCGGATTCACCTCTTCGAGGTTGAGCAGACAGGTGAGAAGTGGGCGGTACGAGCCCTTCGAAACGATTCCAATCCAGTTTGCCAGTTAAATGCAAATATAAACACAAAGGCAAATACACAAAACACAAGACATATTAATCAGTGCAGAACACGGCAGAAGGGTGACTCAAATGGGCGGGCCAGATATATAAGAGATTCCTTGCATTGGCTTTGGTTGGCCAAACAAATAAATTGCAATTTGTGTAATCTTAGCACCTAGGGCCAAAATCAATGGAGAGCAAAGTCCTTCGAGCAGACCGCCACATCAATTCACGCAAACAGGTTCGTATGTATTTGCATTGAGAAAAATCCAGCAAAGCAAATATTTTGTAAGTTATTGTCCTATTTAAATCTGTTTATAGAATTTTTAATTAGGAATACAAATTTTAAATAGGGAAACTTTTATCTATTTCACATTCTTTACACATTTTTAATTTTACTATTACCTATAACTTTTCAGTGTAGACAAATATGTTTGCAAGTATATATGGTTCAGGTGTGTGGCAAAATATTTACAATTAAACACAAAGGCAGCAAATGCATTGTTGCTTGTGCTGTGGGAAAATGTCACCTATTGCTGTTCAAGGATGTTGAAGTTTCATTATATTCAGCATAGGAATGTATGCGCTTGTGTGTATTCAAATGTCCCGGTGTGGGTGTGAAAAGATTAAATAGGATTGCGGAAAATTTGGCCAAAGTCAAAATTGATGTTTGATTTTAATTACAGCGTGATTTCTGACTTTCCAAACAAAAGGTTGACGATTAAATAAGAATACGATTGTCTTCTACAAAAAAATTTTTATGTTTAGGTCACATTAGTTTCAGTTTCAGCTACTTTAATGTAACTAATATTATGCAGAATGTCATCAAGGATATTGATGTGATTTCAGAAACATCTATATCAAGTAAATAAAAGCTTGTGATTTTATAATTCAAATATATTTTTAAAAAATTATATTATTTTCATTGAGCTTATTTCAAATTCATAAGTTTTGATTCATTTTGGTGGAATATTTTGATATTTGTTAATTTTTATAACCGGGGAAAAATATATTAAAAGTTCATATATGCCAAAGCAGAAAAAGATGCATTTCTTCAGATTCGTGTGGTTTTCCTATTAGTGCCTTGAGCGAGGTTTCTTGTTGTCAATGTTGCCGCTGGCCAGCTGATTGGGCATGCAATCCGGGTTGAGAGCTCCACCGTCTGCTGGAGGGAGACTGATCTCCGGTGGGGGCAGATTACCGTCCGTGTTGCGAGTGGCATACTATTTAAAATATAAATAATTAAATTAAAACATAATCTTTTTATTAAAATTAATAGTTACATACCTTGGGTGCATTGTAACGAACTGTCTGCTGAGGCTGCCGATATTGGCGACGTTGCTGGGCATTGGTGATTCCCAGGAGAACGCAGCTGAGGACCAGAATTGCAAGAGCGAACTTAGGCGACATCTTTAGCTTGACTTGAGAGGCTGTGAGATACTATGACTTTGGTTGAGGATCAGTCCGTATTTATACTGTTTCGCTGATGGAGCAGAGAACTTTATCAGTCGCATTCCATATTGCATTTCTTAAGAAATAACACAAGATTTCCCAGTTTCTTCAAAACACTTATCAGAGTTCATTTCATGTGAATTAATTATGTTTGTACCGAGAAAAGAGCAGAAACTAACCACATTATTGGTAATCAAACAATTTTTTCTGTTTCTGCTTAAATGGGGAAAACATTCCAATGGTATAGGTGGACCCGTGAAAGCATCATCCTGACACGCCCACTCTAACGTCCACAAGTAACAAAAATCTAAAATTTTAGATCTTAGGAAGTATTAAAAATAGCGAGTTGTGATGAAGCATGTAAAGTTCTTAACAGGCAGGGCATCTCAAGGTAGTACCATTATTCAGCTACACCTACTATTAAGCCCACCAAGCTCAAAAGACGGTTTTCGCTTTTGGTATAAACGCTGAGATATCGGCAACTATTCGTGATAGAATGTTGGGATCAAACATTTTGTTTCTAATGATGCCCCAAAGCGTATTATTTTTTCCGCACCTGATCACGCCCACTGAAACGCCCACAATACTCGAAAAAACAAAAACACAAAGTTTTCGGGCCAGAATTAGGCATACCAATGCTTGGAGATGGCACCAAAGCTCGGTGTGATTTTTATCCGACCATGCCCACTCTAACGCCCACAATCTGTGGAACACTGTGGTGTACATAAAATTCAAATTAACGTTCTCGTTTTACCCTGTATAACAATTTGACATTATCTATCGATCTAACGAAAATTTTTAAATCGGAACAATGTTTCCCGATTTGTTAGGAAATGAAGGTTATGTATCAAAATGTACTTTACTTTTAGCTAACGAAATATTTTAAAATAGGATAAGCCAGAAACAGGTATCTCAAAGTCGCGGCACTCGACTTTAGCGTTTTTTGTTTATGTAATGTTCTTGATATAGATGCTAAGCGCATGTGTATAAAAATATATTGATATAAAAATAATGGGTTTTCAGATTCAGATGCATTTTTATTAGTGAGGAAAAAGGTTTTGAAAGTTTTTATAGTTTAGGACTTCCAAAAATAAATGTCTGGTTTCGGCAACTTGGTAAAGAACTTCTTCAGATTCGTGTGGTTTTCCTATTATTGCCTTGAGCGAGGTTTCTTGTTGTCAATGTTGCCGCTGGCCAGCTGATTGGGCATGCAATCCGGGTTGAGAGCTCCACCGTCTGCTGGAGGGAGACTGATCTCCGGTGGGGGCAGATTACCGTCTGTGTTGCGAGTGGCATACTATTTAAAATATAAATAATTAAATTAAAACTTAATCTTTTTATTAAAATTAATAGTTACATACCTTGGGTGCATTGTAACGAACTGTCTGCTGAGGCTGCCGATATTGGCGACGTTGCTGGGCATTGGCGATTCCCAGGAGAACGCAGCTGAGGACCAGAATTGCAAGAGCGAACTTAGGCGACATCTTTAGCTTGACTTGAGAGGCTGTGAGATACTATGACTTTGGTTGAGGATCAGTCCGTATTTATACTGTTTCGATGATGGAGCAGTGAACTTTATCAGTTAATCTTCGGAAGGCTCAATGCTGCATTTCTTAAGAATTGAGCAGAAGTCAAAGTAAATGGGATTCTCCTATCAGCATTAAGTAAATTTATGCGGAAGGCTATTTTCCAGTTAATTAGTATAAAACATGTCATTAAGCCGAAAGGGGGCTTGTTAAAGAGAAACAAACTCGTGATTTAAAATTACCATCTTTCTACCGAGAAAGGTAAGGAGCTTTATATATTTAATACTTTGTGCCTTTTTATTTTTTATTCCTTAAATTTTGGCCCAAACGAACTTTAATCTTTGGCTTGTGCCCATGAAAACGCAGCACCCCAAGATGGCCCTGAAACCAAAAACCCTAGGGTCTAACCGGAGTGCTTAAGTGCCTTAGAGCTCCATGATGGATGCAGGCGAGGCTGTGCTTAAGCCTAACCCTAAAAGCGCATTTTAAGTAATTCCAGAGCCTTGCCTATGGTCTCTTAACCCACTGCTCACCCTTTCACCAGCCCTATCTGCTGGGGCTTAAAAGCTTTAAAGGAATTTATTGCGAGTACTTGAAGTATTTTTTTGCTGTTCCTGCTCTATGTACAAATAGATATATGCATAGGTATATAATGGGAATTATTCGCCTGGGTGTAAAGTGAAAGCAGCTAGAAAAAACAGCAACAACAACGGCATCTGCAAGGAGCAACAGTCCTTCCTGTAAAATGGAAGAAAAGTGGGGTCTTGCCGTTGCGTAGGTTATTTACAATGGCTATTTTATATGTGGAAAACTTCGAATGGCAATCCAGCTGCAGTCAAGGCTTTCAATATTTTCACACTTTGGTTTTTAGTTGTAATGTTTTACTCCCTATATATACTCGTATATATATGCCATTTGAAAGGACACAGGCGATGAGTGTTTTGTCTCGAAAAGGAAAAACAATTGCACTTAATGGCACTAGTCGTGTGCCTAGAAAGTAAATGCTGCTCCGGTTGGCAGGAGAAAAATGGGATTCGGTAAAATTGTGAGAAACAGGACCTTGACTGTCTGCAGTTGTCTTTCGAGCCAAAATATATGACCTTCGATTGGATGTCGCTACTAAGCTGTAAATCAAGAAAATATCCCACACAATATTGCTTGAAATGCAATTGCTGAAAGTTAAATATTACTGAGTCCAATCTTTTCAGCAATTGCAAAACATTTGATAAATAAATGATTAGCTAAAAGACTTACGCTGCCGATACGATCATATATAATTAACAGGTATTCAACCTCAACATTTTCACACGTAATCGATTTTATCGCCCTTAGTTTAAGCCCGACGCTGTTTGTTTGCTTTGTTTTACAATATACTCTGTTTTTTAGCCATGCCTTCATGACGCTCTACAATTTAATTATCCTTTTTTCGTGGCTTCAGTTTTTGTACAGTATTTGACACTTTACAGAGTAGCGTGAAAAAATTTAACAAAAATCAGTGCAGAATAATTTGCAAAGCCATAAATAAGTTATTGGAATATTTATAAAAAAACACGAAATAGAAATTTCAAAAGGCTGTATATGATGCTATGGTTTAATTAATTTTTAAGTTTTTCCATAGACATTTTCAGAAATTATTTAAAAATTAATTAGCGGCAGGTAGAAAAACATTTTGCTTGACAATAGCAAATCAAGATTAATAAAGTATAGCAAGGCATAGGAAAAAATATCAATAAAAAATCACTTAAACTTAACTTAAATTAACTGAATGTTTATATTGCATTTAAATTCTCCACACACACACATTCTATTTGCCCATCGCTCTCTTGTTTGGCCTAATTAATGTCGTCTGTGAACTCATCAGGCCATTGGATAAACATTTTTACATAACCAAGCTGTATTCAAATTGATTTATGTTAATTACTGTTTAACAGAATGCGCTTGACTGATTGCTAAATTGATTTTAAATGAAATGCAAATACGGAAAAAATCCACTCGGCCACATAAAAAAGAAATCAGCCAATGGCCCACTGATGATAATGACAATCTATTTTATTGCACTGATTGCTGTCAAACATCAATGATACGAAAAAGAGTTGGAGGCAAAATCCATTGAAAAGTGTAGTGAGAAAAATGCGAGAACTAACCACAATATTGGTTAACAAACAACTCGTCCTGTTTCTGCTAACATCGGGAAAAGTTGTTAAAGGTATAGTTTAAATGGATATATTACAAAGGGTGTATGTAGAAGAAATATATAGAAGCAAATCACCAACGGTTTTCGGTTTCAGATGCAGTTTTATTACAGTGAAAAAAGGTTTTGAAAGTTTTTATAGTTTAGAACTTCCAAAATTAAATTTCCAGTTTCGGCAACTTGGTAACGGACTTCTTCAGATTCGTGTGGTTTTCCTATTAGTGCCTTGAGCGAGGTTTCTTGTTGTCAATGTTGCCGCTGGCCAGCTGATTGGGCATGCAATCCGGGTTGAGAGCTCCACCGTCTGCTGGAGGGAGACTGATCTCCGGTGGGGGCAGATTACCGTCCGTGTTGCGAGTGGCATACTATTTAAAATAGAAATAATTAAATTAAAACATAATCTTTTTATTAAAATTAATAGTTACATACCTTGGGTGCATTGTAACGAACTGTCTGCTGAGGCTGCCGATATTGGCGACGTTGCTGGGCATTGGCGATTCCCAGGAGAACGCAGCTGAGGAGCAGAATTGCAAGAGCGAACTTAGGCGACATCTTTAGCTTGACTTAAGAGGCTGTGAGATACTATGTCTTTGATTGAGTATTGGTCTGTATTTATACTGTTTCGCTGATGGAGCAGAGAACTTTATCAGTCGCATTGCATATTGCATTTCCTTAGAAATAACACAAGATTTCCTCATTTTCTTCGAAACTCTTATCAAAGTTCATTTCATGTGAAACATTGAAAAAATAATCTCAAGTAATTATATTATTTGTGATTATAAGTGTTCTTCAAAGTAAGGTCCAAGACGAAGTCTGGATTGGGTTTTAGATTATTTTATAATATAGGAAATTTGTAAACCTTGATTTTATAGTTCTTAATATCTTTAAAATAAGAGGCCAAAAGTTCGGCCAAGAAATTTTTGAGATCTATAAAGGGACTTCAATTTAAACAACCTCATTGAGGACACGGGACATCTTTGTGAGGATACAAACTGATAATAGACAAAAATGGTGATATGAAGCAATCTGTGACTTTTATGGACTCAGTAAGTATTTAAGTTAAGGACAGTCCCTGCGGCGACAAGAAGTTGCTGGAAAAGAAACATTTTGTGAGTTAATTTATGGAATTCAGCCGCCAAGGAAATGAGGATGTAATAAAACGTAACTTGGAGGTGTGGTGAAAAGTTTTTACTCTTATTTGCATGAACTTCTATGTTGATGAATTAAAGTCAAATATGTGAGGGAAAAAATAAAATTTAAAATGGTTGAACAAAGATTTTTACAGGAAATACTTTTTTAATACATATATAAACAAGCTATTTGATTTATTCGGTATAGCTTGTTATTAAAAGAATATTGATGTTTTCCATTGTGTTTTCGATAAGCTCCTTGTTTGAACGGCAATTTTGAATGGGCGAGAGCAATTAAGGACTCCTTTGTCTGCGATTAGGTAATGACGTGTGCTGGCTCCTGCTGGACAATCGGCTATTGGCTTGTTGTCGGGGGCTCAGCTGTCAAATGCAGCATGTGGAGAGGTGGTACGATTTTGGGTGATAAGGTCCTGTATGATGGTCAGCAAGAGATGGGGGAAATTTCAGAGCACCCGGAATTTCAATGGCGAGGGGTCTAGGTAGCTGGGAAACCAACTTGGAACCTACTTGGCCCAGAAACGCACTCGAACGTGTGTGTGTCTTGGCAAAATGCCAACGCACAAAACTTGCCATAAATCCACAGGCGGCGTATAATTAATAAGGATTAATTGTGCACCAGAACTTGTGCAGCGACAATGCCAGACAGAGCCAAGACAAAGGGAGCTTTTGCTGTGGAACGGGGCACAGAGATGGAGATTGCATGGCCGTAGTCAAAATTTAATTAATTAATAGCACAACTTTAGGTGGCCTGCATACATATGTGTGTCTGCTTCTTAGAATTTTGGGGAAAATTGCCAGCAAATCGATAAGCAAAACTCGAATTCGGAAAATTACCTCCGGTATGCGTTGTACCAGAAATATTCTCGTAAAATATTTGCCTTAATTAACAGATTCAGATCATGGCTCTTTATTAGAAAGCTAATTGCCAAAATATTCGCATTTCGTCCAAGCGAACTTAATTAATTTCATATTCTAGTGCATTGAAAAGATTTCTTCAACCATTTTTATATTATAAATTTTAGAGGACTCTTCAAGAGGTTTGAAAGAGCATATCATATTCAACAATCAGAGCAACTCATTCAGTTGTTAATTAATTTGGAAAGTGTATATCAGTGGTAGAAGAAAAATAACGTAAAATATAATAGTAATGGAATGTATAGTTCTAACCTAACCCATCATTATTAACCAAAATTTTCGTTAAATTGCATTTTCCGGGATTTTATAGCAGCTAACACCTTAATGAATCAATAAACTCAATTATTTATGCATTGTTGCTAAAAATTGTCCCATTTGCATCCTGCAATATCTTCAGGCCAAAGCTAGTAATTAAGCCGGCATTTGGCAGCAACAGAAGATTGTCCACTTAATTCGAAAGGAAGCGAAAACTTTTTTATTAGCTCTGCAATTCCTTCGTCCTTTTTCCACGGCATTTCAATTCCCCGAACTTTTTTATCAGACCTTTTACAGTTTTCCTACTTAACTTTACGTTCGCTTGGCCCCCGTTTTCTCCACTGCTTGGCAGGTGAGTGGAAAAAAAGGACGACGGAAGGGAAATGAAAGACGGCAATTAATGTTAAGCTCTTGGCACGGCCCAAAGGATAGTTGAGCATTTGGCGGGGCAAAAAAAAAAAAAGAAGAAAAAAATAACACAAGTGCATCGGGGGTGGGGATTGGTTTTAATTAGGAAAAGTGTTTTATACTCCAATAACATTATGGTAAGCTTTACAGGATTGAACCCGGAGGCCTTGGCGCCCTTACAATATGCAAAATTGAAGTTTAAAGTTTTTTTTGAGAGTGAAAATCAATATTTATGCTTTTAAAGTAATATATGGTAGAATAACACGCTTAATGGTAGACACGTCGGCACCTATTAATTCGATTCCAATTATAAAATTTCTACCAGTGGGCACCACAAATAAAATATGATCTATGCAACAAAAAGCATTAAATGAAATTGAATAATAATTATTCCGCTTATTGCTGTTTAATAATATGTTGATTTATTTATATCTGCTTATGAATATTTGGATTCAGTTTAAGAATAATAAATATCATATTTGTTATAAAATTTCAATGCATTCAGGTTTTTTGAAAACAAAATTTATAAGTATGCCAATATTTAAAGGGAAATGTTAAGCATCAAAAACTTTATTATTCATTTTTCTTCGTAGAATTCGGGAGCCAATGGACATTCGGTATTTATCTCTGTTTACCATACTTTATGCTTGACTGATTTCCCCATTAACTACCACAATTTTCTTCGAGGAATATTTTTTATTATCACAACAGACAAACAACAATAAAACTAGAGAGATACGAAAGCAGTTTTAGTATTTTTATTTTTCACGAATTTTGCTATTGGCATCCACGATACAGCTTTGAAGTCCCATACCCTCAACCTCAACCGTCTATGATTTTTAGTGAGTAAACAAGATTTTTGATGCGGCATAATTTTCCCACCACCTTCTGCTCTTGGCGCGGGTAATTTGTTTTTGACGCATTGCTGATAACGACGCCGATGATGATGTCATAATTTTATTTCGCTCCGCCATTGCCCGGCCAAAAGTCAAAACAAAAAGCGTTTAAATTTCAACGATCTATCCGCATTCGATGTAATTTGCATAATATTTTAATTTTGCATACTTATTGGCGCATAATTAGGTGGTTATTTCCACGGGCATGGGCTTTGTTGTTTGACTTCCAGCTCTATATTTAGCAAAAAATAAAAAAAAATTGCAAATTTAATTTGCATAGATGAAAGAGTAATTGCAAGTGATGGGCTACTTATTTGTCCAGTTTGAAAAGCCAATCATCTCATAATCAAATATATCCATATATATATATATATATATATTCTTTGCTTTGGACGCCAGAATAGCCACTCTCTGGTATCTACGACCACCAAACCATTTAGTGATTCTCCCTCACCTGTCCTTATTTATTTGCACTTTATTTACCCCTTGACCACGTTGGCTAAGAAAAAAACCACAAATGTACATACACGAATTTTAATGGACTCCGCGTAACACCCAAGTCAACCTTGCCCACCAGCCACTCCTGGAACACGCGGATACACACGCACTCATGCCCAATCGCAAATCGAACGAATGTTTGTCTAAGATCCACAGTGGTGTCTTCAGGGCGTATGCAAAATACGTTTTTAGAGGGATAAGGAAAATATTTCAATGCTTCACAAAATCTTATTGATTATTTGTTAAAATGAAAACATACAAGTAATTGGAATTTAAATGTTTGTTTGGTAATATATGTTTAATATCGAACCCGAGAATCCTTTCGGTAGTACACCCCTGTCCGGCTGAAGGGCCTGCTCTGGTCACCCACCGCATCGGGGCACAATTTTTTCTCCCGCTCACTCCAGGATCCAACACAAACACTCGAGCTGCTGAACGTTGCCGGATATTGGCTTCATACACCGCCAGCCAATTTTAAATTGCCAATATTGATTTATACGCCGCATGCGTCGCTGCCACATGGGGTACGAAAGCCAAGTTAGTGGGAGCTCTCGATCCCAGACCCTCTGAAGCATTGTTAAGTTGCAATTTTGCAGGTGGCGGTCGGGGATTCATTGCCAAAGATGGACGTGGGGCCAAAGTAAATGGGCATGGGATTTCACGTAGTTAACGCTGCCAGAATTTATTGGTCAGGCTTTAATAGCTGCACTCGTATGCAATGCAAATGTGCTTAAATATACTCAGAAGAAAGCATAAAATTCACAGTTTTCAGTACCTATATGAACATACGAGCACATACGAGTATGTAAGATTTACATATGCGAGCATCGTCTTATATAATATTACTTAGACTAAATGCAATTGGATATGCCATCAAAGCAAAAAAAATTATTTTGGCCCACCGTTTGCGTTTGCCATCCCCTTTTAATTTCGCATCCACATCTCCTGGCTCGGCTTGTGATTTCCCAAATCCCATTTAAGAATTCCCTTTGTGGGAGCCAGGGATACCCAAAACTCTGACTCGGCCACAACAGTTGAACACAGTCCTTTGCATAATTCATGCAAAAAATTCAACACAACTCGAATCCGAGTCCCAGTGTGTTGCTTGTTTATTTGCTGAAAGATGTTTTGGATGCTGCTGCCGTTGTCCTTTTTATGGGGGCAATCGACATGTGCTTTAAGTGCTCAGATGCCGACAGAAAGATGAGAGTTTGTCAAACGAATGTTGCCCGTCGCTTAACCAGTTGCCAAATGTTTCGAAAGGGGAAACGATGTTTGTTCACATATTCATGGGATGTTTTGATTTGGGCTGCAAAGGTTATCAAAAACTATAAAACATATGTCTGTCCTAACTTGAAAATACGAGTATACTTAATTCAATGTCAATCAAATTTCAGTTCGAGAACACATGCATACACTCTGCAACTATTGCCTTTTCCCAGGCTGCACCTGGCAATTAAAAGAAATTAATTGCCCGCTTCCATAATGAACGTCATTATAAAACTGTCAACTGCATTCAGCAACTGTATTATGGCCATCTCTGACACATAATGACATTTTTTACTTGCTTTTACAATAATTGGTTTTTTTTTAATGCAGCATAAGACTTTTTGTTATTATTGCTTTCAAAGTGGATGCTTTGGCGCCCATTATTAAACAAGAGTAAAAATAAATAGCAACCTTAATGATTTTCCGCATTTAAACGTTGTATCAGACAAAGGGATATAACAAAAACAACCAAAGGCTTCATTCTGACATTTAAATTTACCATAAAAATTTATATAGTTTCCATCAAAAGGGATAATCACAGGAGAGCCCTGCTAAAAACAGTAATTATACGTTTTATAATAAATTTAAAATAATAAATATATTTTTAAGGTATGCAAGTGATTGTTCTGCTATAAATTTTATACACATTTACGCTCAAACTTGTTGCAGCAAACAACATTGTTAATGCATACCGCCAAATTTGATTTATAAATATTTGTCTTGCCTTTGGCCATAAACGAACCGAGGAGCCAAGTATGGAGGTCGCGAAAATAACCAAAACGGAAAATGGTAATATATTTTCCATTAAATTTAATTTTCATGGTTTTAGGCACAATCCGCTTCCGCCTGAGCATTGGCTCCCACGGTTGTGGCCTAAATTTCATTACGCGTAAAATATGCCTATATTTTCGCCACATTTCTCATGCTCTTGCAAAGGGCATTAGAATTTTTAACGATTTTAATCATTTATTATTCTGACAATATTTCTATGTATTTTTTCAATCTTACTTTTACTCAACTTCATATTTCTACCATTAAGTTTCTTACTAAAACTTTGCATTGACCTTAAAGACGTTAACCCTCCGCTCGTTGAAGTGATTTGGTAAGCAGGAGTAGGAGTCCATTGCATTGCCATGGAAATTGCTGCATTATTAGGGGTCTGGAATTGTCTTTACCGCTGCGGCAAGGAGCATCGATACTGTCCTTTATTCCTGCCCAGTCCTCTTCGCGGCATCGCCTTTATTGTTATTTCGCCTGCATCATTATTTCAGTTGGCGCCTTGGCTGTAAGTGGAGCCACAGTTCCCAGTGGCTGCTCCTTCCTGGATCCTTTGGCATTGTGCGGCGTTGATTCTGCTGTTGTTGCAGATAAAGATAAATAGTCTCAGATAACGTTCAGTTATTTGCAAACAAATACAATTGCGGTTCATTGATGGCGGTTTCATTTCGCCATCAGCCGAGTAGGGTGCCCGGATGGCCAAGTGGGTGTGGTCCGGTTTGGCCCATTAGCTTGCGGTCCTCAAATGGGCCCTCTTTGTCTGCCGGTTAGACTTTGGGTAGTCGAGGCTATTCAGATTCAGATTCGGTTTTCGAACCACGAATTTGTCGAAAGTGTAACTGATGAACTCCGCATACCACCTGCCAGCAATTCCGAGCCATTTCTAAAGTGAAAACAAAGCAATTTAGTTGATATTCGTTAGATGAAGAAAAAATCAATATTTTTCGAAATCTTATTTTGTCTACTGGTAAATTATGTTCAATAATTTTAATGTGTTACTAGCCTTGTTATGTGATTCCTATTTAATAATTTTGATTTGGCCAAAATGATAAGATCTTACCGCAATTGCGAATGAAGTCTCTGGTGAGATTCCGCAGAAACTATTAGTAATGCCCACAACAAACGCCATCAAAGGTTCATACTCCTCCTCTTCAATGATGTACCTGAGCACATTAAAGGCGGTGCTCCAGTTAATTATATTTTCCCTCCACAGAAAAATAACATCGCTGACAATCTGAGCGCGATTTAGCACATGGATGCTGCGAAAGTCGTCGTATAGTGTGGTTGCCAATAGTTCCCAAGTGTGCTCATCATAGTTGACTCTGTAGTAGCCAATGGCATGCAGATTGAAAAGGATCCACTGATTACGGGGCACGATCTCACCCAATTCCCAGCTATCGTTATGAGGGTTGAGCCAAGCCCTTGGCCTGAAATGTTTGGGAAACGTTTCGCCCTCGACTAGGTAAGTCAAAGGAATCCACCAACGATCAGTTCTGCTCCTGTTAAGAGCTTGACTCTGCTTTAAGGCTACCTTATTGCCATTTCTGGTGACCGTGACCAGGGGATAGCCGCTCTGCAGGATCCACGTGTCCATAATACTCTGAACATCCAAGCTTTTCCTTGAGGCAGACTCCCTTTCAATAGCCAACTGCAGTGATCTCCAGAAAAGATCTGGTGTGCTGCTGGCAAAGGAATTTTGCCATAGGTGTCGTTGAAGCCCATCATGGAACGTGTCATTTCCCAGAAAGCTGGCAACCATGCTTATCAAAGAGGTGGCCTTTTGATACAAATGCATTTCCGCCTCTGCGCTGACAAGAGGCCAAGGAGGCACCAAGGTCATGCCGCCCACTTGGGATTCGTACATAAGCGATTCTTCGCGATACCGCAACAGCAATTGTCTACCCTTCCTCGGTTGTAAATGATCCACGGCAAGGGTCTGAAAGTAGCCTGTTAGGCCTTCATTCAACCATATATCTGACCACCAGCCCATTCCCAACATATTGCCAAACCATATGTGAGACATTTCGTGAGCAATGAGCTGAAGAGTTTGCAGTTTCGACCTGGTCATTGGTCCATCTTCACGCTGCAGAATCTGTTTGCTGCGGTAGACGACAAGGCCAAGATTCTCCATGGCTTCGGTTGGGTATTCATTTACAACCAGCTGATCAATCTTCTCTAGTGGCAGGTGCACCTGCAGCAGATTATCTAGGAACTCCAATACCTGAGGAGCCATTTGGGCTGCAAATGAAGTCTTAGGCAGATCATCCGATTGGGAGCAGGTGCGAAAACGTACAGGATTGGCCATGGCCGTCTGGCTGTAACGGCAGTTAAAGTTGTTTACGGAGAAGACCAGCAAATGGGTGGCCATCATGGGTGTCATCTCATGCACGGACCACACGTAGTTCTTGATCTCATGGCTATAAAATTGTTAAATTTGAAAGAATGAAGGATATATTTTTGGGGATCATACTAACTTCGGCATCACAATTCGGACATTCATGTTGCTGTAGCTCTGAAATCGCTTGTGATGGCCCATGGTTACGTTGAAGGTGGCCCTCATGGCGGGCTCATCAAAACAGGGTATGGTGTTTCTTATTACGTTTCGTTTGAAATGCGATATTGAGAACCAGCTGCAAGGTAAGTTAAAGGTTAAACTAGTTTCAAATATAATACATATAAACCATTTTTACGTGTTCTCCAATGTCTTTGCATTTACATAGTTTCCTGTAAAATACCCATCTTTCTTGTCTTCCGACATTGACCTACGGAACTGAATGCTTAACATGTAGAGCTTGCCCATCCGTAGGGGCTCGTTGAAAGTCACTATCATATAGTTCCATTTTTTGTTGAATCTAACAGATATCAGTTGATAGTCGGAAGACCCACCATATAATTTTATGGTTTTGACAATGATATAAACATCGGCCACATGGAGTACCACATGGTCGGTTGTCGTTTGTACATGAAGAGAAATATTAACGAAACCATCGTAGCTGTGGTTAGATGAGTTCTCCAGGTGAGTAATTAATCTTAAGTCGTAGTGAAAAGGCACAATAGTTTTCGGTAATCGGGCTTCATCATAGACGGGAACTTTTAGCAGAATATGCAATTTGACATAGAACCAATATGATAAATAGTCTGGATAATGTGGCATATTGATAGCAGACTTCAATAGGCTTAAAGCTTATTAACATGATGAATTGAAGAACTCGATTCTTTGAACTTCTGGACAGGTTGCCAAAATAAATAATATAAATTTGAAATTTTTTACAAATTCAATTTTATGACGTTCTGACAAACAGATCCTTGTTAACTAAATTTTTTTATTTCTTGAAACAATCATTGAAAGTTTTCTGTAATTAAAATAATCTAAGAATAATCTTTAAAATGTATTGAAGTTATTACAAATACCCCGCGGAATCTGATTCATGGGGTTTTTAATGGAGCATTTTAACAGGCTTCTGAAATTTCATATCCGCCAGGAGGTCGAATGGGTTTCCTCAGTAAAAGTAACATTCCCAGCTCGACTTGGCAGCGTCTTGACTTACTTTCCAGCTTTCACTTGCGGGTTGGCAGAAGTTTTGCAACTTTTCGCGTTACGTGCGTTCCTTGATTTGCCCATGTATCTGTTTGCATCCGTGAGCAAGCGTACGGGTGTGTGTTTGTGTGCGGGCCCAGCGCCAAAAAGTATGTTAAGCACTTTGGTCTCAGTTTGAAGGCGCACTTTTGGGCCCAGCAGGACCCTCGAACTGCTAACGCATACGCATACGAATTCGGATCTGGTTTGCGATTTATACGTGCATGTAATATGTGTAATTTATGACTGACGGGATGTGAGCGCTTAAATTATGTGCAAAATGCTCACAAAAGCCTCGCTGGCTTTTGGGGGCTAACAAACTTTTACTCAAAAGTTTGCCACCATCCAGCCCCTCGGCGAATATCAAAATATTGACAGTCACGTGTGGATTAGTTATTGGGATGGAGTTGAATAGGGCGGATTAGATTTACCATCCATTTTTCGAATCGATTTCCCCATTTAAAGGAGGATTACCGCTTAAAGATCTGCTTCAATATCCACAAGAACAAATTAACAAATGAAAATGAAATTTTGCTTCTTTATTATTAATTATTTATCCAAAAATGTCTGAATAGGATCATTCTTGTTAGATACAATATGGAGTAATAATAAGAGTAACAGTTTTGGGCCATCTTTCATTGGAATGAACATAGAAACCAAGACGAATTGAAGCAATGAAATCGCTTTTCCCCAAAAATGCACTGAAAGTGATTTTTGTCGGAAAAACAAGGCTAACACGAGAATGAGTATCTTGTTCCGAGAAGAGTGTCCATTTGAGAGGCTCCTCGAAATGACAAAGCTCAATGGGATTATGCTTTATGCTCCCTTCAAAATACCCTTAGTCCTTGTCCAGCGCATTGCTCATCCCGATACGGATCCTAAATGAATTTTCATTTCCAATTACTTTACAATTTTGCTTTTGTGTGCCTGATGACTTGGATCCCTCTCACAATGCGCCCTTCGCCCTGCCCCTTGTGGCATTACAATTCGATTTCCTAATTTTCAATTTTACACGTTTGGCAAACACTCGAGTCGAACAGCCCAGATCGAAAACAGGACAAGACCCGAGAGCCCATACCTAGTTCTCATCCGCATCCACATCCCACATCAACATCCGCATCCTCATCCCCAGCCAATCGCTCCGCTATCCGTATGCAATGCCAGGCCAGAGACTTTTGAGAAATTTTAATTAAAATTGAATTTTCTTGCATTTAATTAAAAGCTTAGCTGGCGCGCATGAAAAATGAGAGAAGCCAAAGAAAAACTATGCTCGATGTGGATGTGTATGCGGGAAGGGGGTGCGGACATGGATGCGGATGCGGATGTGGCAGGGCACTCGAGCAGAAGTGCATGCACTGGCTGCACCAGAGATATGAGAATCATCATCGTCAGCTGGCTAAGGCCCATCCTTGAACTCCTATATATCCATGCATAAATCCTATCGTAAAAGGAAAAGGAGCTGCAGATATTTTCGTATGTTTATCCGGGGCGAGATCCTGGCCGCCCCGGAACCGGTGCTAAACGCAACACTGACAGCTTCTGTCAAAATAACCAACTAATCTGGCTACTGCAATATTGTTTGACAACCGAACATACACAAACAATTGGGTGGACTTCCACTCATCAAACTGCCATTTAAGGCTTTTCCCATTGATTTTCCACTGGAGACAATTGCCCTGAAATTTTTGACATGGTTTCCTGGAACAATCGCCATGACGATTGGATTTTGGGTTGCGGCAGGCTAATTAAGTTTTCCAACCCTCCGCCCAAAATTCTACTCCAAATTGCAACCGAAAATTTGCCTAGCCACAACATTTTCCACCATTTCCGGCCACGAGAATTCATCACATTTGCGAACCGGAAGTCGAAACAGTTATATCACAGAAGTAGGCCTTGCGGAATGATTCGTGTATTGATTTTTGTCCGGCTAGCGATTCTTTTTTTTAACTAAGTTTAGTAAGCAGTTAGGGTATCTTGGGAGAAGGGGTAATTTTTAGCATAAACCCTTGGTTTTTTTCTTTTGCTATTGTTTAATTTAAATATACTATTTATTAATGCATTAGAAAAATATTTTAATACATTTTTGCTTATACGACTTCTTGTCTCCTGGCCGCTTGTCTGCCCCATAGTCACCCAACATCCCCATCTATAAGAAGGAAACCAATCAGTGCATAGTTGATATTCCTTGCTTTGGTATCGCAGAATGCCAAGAACAATTTTTGGTGGAGTGGCGCCCAACTGACCAGCGAGGCGATCAATGGCTACTCATCCTGCTTCCGGAACGAGGCGGCCGAAGCCACATAATTGTTTTAAATTTTTCATAAATTCCCCCGCAAAATGTAGCTCGATAAAAATGCGGCACACAGCCCCCCAACTGGCTATATGTAGTAGGTAAATTTTGCGAGTCTCTGCTTTCGAGCGCCATCCAGCCGAAACTCCTCGAGATCCGGTGGCCAAGAGCCGAGATCCGAGTAAAGAGGACCGAGGACCTAGGACCAGGCATAAATAGTTTAATATAAAACGCAGACAAAGACCTGGGAATGGTGCGGAGTCCTCAGCTCATCTCATGCCCGCATAGTTTGTTCAGCTCATCCTCCTTCCCCGCCCGGAGTCCGTGAAGCGTTTCTTTTGTCTTGTGGCAAGAGGGAAAATATTTAATGCACCCACAATATTTTGCTTGGCTGGCAAGTGATAATGCACCCGCCTCGCGATGGGCTGCCTTGGCCTTTGGCAGGAGCACGGAGCACAAAGAACCAAAGGACCGTACAACCAACCAGCCAACCAGCCAACCAACCAACCAGCCATCCAAACTGGGCGTGCCGCTAGTCGTCAAAGCAACCCTCCGCTGCCGATTCCCATTTTTATATGCATATTCAACAGTGTGGAAGTAATAAAGCCAACTTGCCGACAGTTATAGTTGCTTGTACAGTTGTCTGGAGACAGTCGGTATGCCGGAATCAGGGAAGCACTCGTTGCCGGCCCAGACATTCACGGTCCAGGATGCTGTCGAGGACGAAAGCTGGTGCGATTGGAAAGCGAAACCTTTGACACTTGAGTCTTGTCCTGTGCTGGCATTCAATTCACACAATTTATGGCATGATAACAATATTTGATGTCCCTTTATGGTGTCAAAAATATTTTCCAGAATATATAAGGTTATCTTAGCAAAAATCTGAATAGCTTGGACACCCAACATAAAATATTTTTATTTTACTTCAGGAAAGAAGCCAATTAGGTCCTCAGTTGTAAGTTCCAGATTGGATTAGTAGTATTATACAGTCCTGTTAAATATTTCAAAACTTTAATCCTTTAAAAAGTTAAGTAAAGTTTATTTGTGTATTATTCTGGCAAACGGAAAATTGTTCTATTAGAATTACTATCTTCTCTTCTTAACAGAATTTAAAGAGAAATATTTTTGTATTTCTCCCACATGTCGTAATTTGCCACATGACTTGATGTAGAGCGTTCCGCTGACATAATTAAATTTACTTTTGCTTCAAAGGCGGTCTAGGAAGAACGTTTAGCTAATTTGCCATTCAAAACACGCTTTAATCGAACCCAGCGAGTCCGTAGTCCTGCCAGCCAGGCAACGAAATTGAAAGTGACATTTATGACACAGACATTGCCGACACGACATCATCATTTCCATCAGCAACGGCGTTCCTCTGACGAGGCGGTGCAGTTTACCCCGTGGCACTGATTTGAATTCTGTCAACAATTTCACAATGACGACATCTGCGGAGGTGCAAAGAGGCAGTTGATTGGCTGTCTCATTGCCACATCAGATAGGAGGCAAATTTAATTGTTGTCAATCCGACATTTGCCAAATTGAAGCTGCTAAGGGCTGCCTCCGTTTGTCTTTTCATTACCCTGCAGGTTCTCTATGTTTTCCAGTGTTATTTCACTGAAAAGCTGATCTTTTCGTCAAAAGCTACTCTTAACAAAATGGTTAAAATTACCTTTAATATTTATACGACTTTGTTTAATACAATGATCACCATTACGGATTAAATCTAAATAAATTATCATAATACTACAAACTTGTCTTGTCGATATAATTGGGCAAGCATAGACAGCAAAAAGTATTAAAAAACAAATAAAAATCTTTATTGATACTCTTAAAATTTTTTAAAATATCTTCTATATGAGAAAAGTTTCCAGTGTTGGTCACTACAATGTCTACATCATCAATCATGACTGTCTAACTATAACCCTACTCTATGGAAAGTTCTTTTTCAATGTCATGGGCATAGAAAATTGTCAACATATCCTCCGGCTTAGATCCATGTTCCTGACATTGCTATTCTTTTTGCACTCCTAATTTGTTGACTCTTTTTCTGCTGCTCTTTTTTCCTTCTGCATTATTGTGATCTGGGGCTTAATTATTTTCCTGGCTCCCTTTGAAATGCACTGAAAGTAAATCTCCACCCAGCACTTTATCGTACCCTTTTACCATCGCTCAATTCCCCAGGATGTGCCAACATTTTGCTTGTCACGCAAATGTTTCGTGTCAGATTTGCACTCCTCCGGCTACTTTTCTGTCCAGGAAATATTCATTTTTAACCGCAAATATATATATATATATATATATATATATAAGTTCCGCTATACAGTTTGCTTTATTCTTCATATAAGCCATTATATATTTTCAACATTAGTATGTAAGAGTCGTGTTCGTGGAAAATCGCGTTGCACGTCGTCGGTCCACTTGCAGGAAGTCTGCCTGCCCACATCCAACTGACCCATGTAACAACTCATTTCTGCAGCAAAACTTGCCTAGACACATTGCTTCGAGATTCACTGATTATTGCCCTTTCTTATTTTCATTTATTAAACTCTCTTAATTTGGTAGTTATCCATTTGAAAACTTTAAAGAATTTAACGATGTTAGAGACAACCATTTTGCGACCTTAATAGTGAGCCTTACATTTCCTTTTAAACTGGTTTGGTTCCACTGTGCACTTCTCGTTGCACGTTATTTTGGTCGCATGCTATATTTTTCAATTTGTAAACATATCCTGCGGTGTCGGCGCTGAAAGCCGGTCTGAAAAGGGCGGCATTAGCCAGCATCTGGCCACACCCACACCGTTGGCTAGGATGAAATGCATTTGCTTCATTTGCTTGGCGTGTATTTCATGTCAACTTAATGTTTATTAGAAAACGTCTAGCTAGATGGCAAATTGGAGAACGAAAGATGAAGTTCCCGCTGTCAACTGATGAAACCCCTGCCAAAGGATCTCATTCATCAGTCAACGAAAGCAAAGCCATTTTTTGAGTCCTTCAAAGAATCGGTCGGAGTTTTATACCCCTCTGTTGGTTATTAAGAAGTAACATTTGAGTTCTGGGGTTTGGTTTTTGATAATCATTGTAGAGTTATTTCAGTATAAACTTGGATTGAGGGAAGATGTTATATGAACATACCACCTAATCGTAGAATGGAAAAGTTTATAATTCATGGAAAACTTTTTTGTAGTTATTTACTAGGTCAAAAATTTATAAAATATTATTATTATTTATTATTATTTCCGAATTCAAAACAAAACATCAAAAGCTTTGGTTACATTTGAAGTTTTGTTTTGAATTCGCTTCAGTGGAATTATTAAGTTGGCTCACTGAGCTCACATCAAGTCTGATTACTCATCTGAGAGCTAAGGGAAATCCAGAACCAAAACTTACAGAAGAAAGAAAGCGTTATCGATGAGAAAAGTGTTCCAAAACAGTACCAAAATGTAAAAAAAGCTGAAAACTTCCTTATATATAGAAAATACCTAAAAGTGGGCTGCCAGCAACCGCACTCAAAAAATACGACGTACTAATTTTATGCTTGGCCAAATTTTATTTCATATGTAAATGAAAATAATACAATTTTGTTTGTAATATTTATTATAAAATCTTTCCTATAGCTCCATTATATAGGGTTATAACCGACAAATGCCTGTTATCAACTATATAATTACATTATATGTGTAATTTATCACTATATAAGGAACAGTATATGACGAGTAAAGCACAGTCATGAAAAGCCAATCCCAAGTTAGTACTTTCAGAGACCGAAACCGTGTTGGTTATTCTGTAGCTGAATATTGAATAATGAATAATATTAAAAGAAGTGGATTTTGTGATCAATTAAAAATTTTAGTAATAATACTGTGCTTTTCCGCCATATACACTAGCGCTTTGGGTCAAACTATTACGGCTGAAAACCCTGGCTTTGGTTTGCCAGATTCTGTTAAAGAAGATAAAACAACCACATCTACCCCTTCAACCACAATAAATCCAAGCTCTGGTCCAAAAATAAGACAATGTGGCTTGCACAAAGATAAGACTTGTGTAAGGAGATCTGAATGTGCAACGACTTTACTCAATGGTCCAAAACTTATTATTGACCTGAAGGAACCGTCGAGAAGTGGTTGCCACTATCTCGAGGTTTGTTGCCATTCTTATCATATGGTGGGTTCTGATAATCTATTTGAAAACTTCGCTTTCTATGATTACCCTTTGTCGTTGTGTAGTTAACCCCTATGGAAACATCGATTCCCTCGGAGCACAATCAATGTGGTGTCAGTAATGTTGCTGGCGTTTTTATGACCTTAAAGGGAGGTCGCTTGGAAACGAGCTTCGCCGAGTACCCTTGGACGGCGGCTATATTCGACACCAGAAACAAATTCCTTTGCAATGGAGTTCTTATTTCTTACAAGGTAGTTTTGACTACAGCCACCTGTTTGGCACCCTACCAGCCACTCATCGTCAGGGCTGGTGATTGGGATTTAGCAACTGATCGTGAGACAGTTCCTCACAAGACTCGGGAAGTACAAGATCTCATCCTACATGAGCAATTTAATTGGGACTCGATGCAGGACAACATAGCCCTGCTGATTCTAAAAGAGGAGTTTCCTCGTCTTCAGCATATTGTACCCGTATGTTTGATACAGGAGGGGGTTGACCTCGACTATAAAAAGCTGTTTTGTCACCGGGTGGAATTACAGGACCTCTAGTAGAGTTACCCCGTCTCGGCACATTGCCCTCAGGGTAGATATGAATATCGAAAGATCTGATTGCATTAACAGTACCAGCCATAAATTGCTGGTCGCCACACCCAGAACAGAACAGCCCATCTATGCCAAAGGAGCTCCTCTAGTTTGTCCCACAGAGAGCAGCAAATTCTACGTCGTGGGAGCTTGGAGCACGAGCCTAAATGGAACAATTCAATTTACCGACATAAGGCAGTTCAAAAATTGGATTGATCAGATGGTTCAGCCATAGAACAGTTTTCGTCGAAAAACACCGTTAATAATATTAAACAAATGCTCATATTTTATGAAATGTAACCTATTAAAATACAATTTGTTGGTTTCTTTTTAAAATGGAATAAATACATAAGTATATTTTTTTCGTGGCAGTTAACAGGGATGACAGTTATTCGAGGCAAAAATGTTTAAATATATTGATCGTGTCACCTTAGCACTCTCTTCCGCACTCGTCTTCGTGGCAAATATCGCATAGGGAGGAATCAACAGAAAAGAACTGTGTGGCGCTAAGTTCAGTGGAATAATAATCGTAGAGTCGAACCCAAGATGGTTTTAGATTTGCCACTGCATGGGTCAAGATAGCCCTCAAAGGTGAGGCACTTTCGGTTACCAGGAGTAAGTTTTTCGAAATATATGTGAACTTCAGTGTCCTCATTCTTCGTCTCCACGCGCTTTATATCGGAAATGGCTTCTATGTTGGGGAAGGAATCGTGATCGCTTACATAGCCGGATGGCAGCTGGACTTCCATAAGCGCCATGTTGGTGGGCTTTGTCTTATCGGAGCTAGCTAGAGGGAGTGTATTCGCCGCAAATGTCCAGAACCAATCGATGATTGACCGATTTCTTAGCCGAAACTGATAACTTAAAGCTGGGGCTTGGCTCTTTGGTGTCTATGTTATACCGGTACGATAGCTGAATTTGAGATCGTCCTTGTCCCGTTGCCGAGAATTTTACTTCACGAGCGTTAGATGGAAGCTGTTGGGTCTGAACTTTCATATCGTTTTCTTTTGTTACCCTTATATTGGATATGCTTTCGTTTAAGTGCATTAAGTTAAAGTCGATCGCACTGGTCGGCACGTTGTATAGAACTTCATACATGCTTAGAGCCATGATACCCACGACCGTGTCTTGGGACGAAGCGAATCCTCCGTTGCTGTTGCGCTTGCTTATCAGCCAATCGACAATTGGCTTGGGTGGGACCATCCAATCTTGCTTCAGGAGGGCGAGCAGCACATATGATGTGATCTCAACGTCATTACTGGCGCTGTTGTCTGACCTGGACCACCATTTGTAGTCACCGCTTTGCTTTGCCAATCGCTCCAACTTGGCCAAAACATCTGCAGCCTTGTGGTTTTGAGCCAATGACAGGGCAAAAGCAGCGATGGCCAGATCGTACGGATCGTTTGACTGGTCCACCTTTCCGGTCACAAACTTGACGGCCTTATCGATCACATTCTGGTAGTTGGGCATGTCTCCCTGCGGAACGTAAAGAAGAAGTAGGGTGAGGAAAGAAGGAAGCCCAAAGAATAAAAATAATTGTTTGGCTCTTCTTAGAAGTAGCTTAATAATGGTAAAATTTTGATAGATGTTTAATAAAGCCGAATAAATCAATTAATTTCAATGGCTCACCTTGCTCTCGAGGAAAGTCAGCAGCACAAATGAAGTAAGGGCCAAAGGACTTCCATGGCTATTGTGGATGACTACGCCCAGTTCTGGGAACTCACCATTCGCCTTCTGTCGGGATTGGAGAAAATCGAGACCAGCTTTCAAGACATTGCGGTCAATGTCTACATAATCGGTAGCATAGTAGAACGAGCGGATCACGTATGCGGTTAGCCAAGTGCTGCCTTTAGGATCCCTTTTCCCCCAGGCGCTAAAAGAACCGTCATCATGTTTGTAATTGAGTTCTCTTTGGTACCCAGTTTCAACAAAGTTCTTAGCATTCTTTGAAACCTCTGGGTTATTGCGCTTACTAGCTTCCAAATAGTTCAACGCAAGGACGCTTGGAACAAAGTTAAACATATTTTGTTCACCACAGCCGTAAGGCATGCGAACAAGACCGTCAAGATGTTCCAGCTGTGGTGCCTGAATTGTTCCACCAATTTCGACCTCCCAGTACTCAGAACCATCTACAGCACCCTCCACATTATCTATGAAAAGTGTTTTTTCAGTTGGCCCTGTTGTCAGACTTCGTCGATGTACCTTCGGGAGATTAACCATTACCGCCTTGTTGACATACTTTGTAACGCCATTGGCTTCGACTCTAAGCAATTGATGGATTGAGTCGCCAGCGTTTGGCGAGATGGCGGTGATCTTAAGAGTGGTCAGACCAACGTTCTTGGGACGAATCATGAACGAAATACTTCGTGCGTTTTTGGCCGGAACCCGTAAAGACTTTTCCCTTCGCGTCTTCATTATATTCTTCGTTACATTCGCACTTGTGGCCTCCATAAAATCGTACTGACCTTCTGAGTTATCCATTGATACCTTTGCCAGAACATCAACTTCCAAGTAGTTGAAAACTACGATGGGTATGGCAATTACTTCACCTCGCTTCACGGAATATGGGAGATTGGTGGTTACGAAAAAGGGCTGGAACACGAGAATTTTACTGGCACTGTGGGTCAAGGCGAGCCCGGAAGAAGGGTTTAGGGAGAATCCAGTGATCACCCACGAGGTTATCGTATCGGGAATTTGCTTTTTCAGGACGTATTCTCCATTGGCTCCAACGCTGTAAAAGAGATTTAAATTTTTTCGTTTACCTCAAATAAGAAGGACTTACTCGGATATATTTAAGAACATCCAGGTTTCGGGGAAAAGTTTTCGAATGGGTGGTAGTGATCCTTGTGAACTTGTTGATTTCAAAATGGCCGGAGTAGGCTGAGTTTTCTACAGGTAAAACACGCGACATTAAAGAAAATAGTGCTCTCAAAGGTGAAAAGGATGGCTTACGTGATCCATCTGTTTTAGACCCAGATTTTGTAATAAGGCAAACCGGTACAGTCCATTTTGTCTAATAAATTAAGTTATTAATCTAAAGAAAAGTTCTATATTTTGATTTATTTATGACATACCAGGGTTTGTATAACAGCCACCTATTGGGTTAATAAAGTTAATAAAATGCGGCAAACGTTTACATATTTTAATTACCCGTGTCCTCTTTGATGTATAGATTTGCGTTAGTTAGGGTTACCACATCGTTCGAGTACTTGGCAAGATTGTTTAATATTTGGTCCCGGTTCAGATCGTTACCAGATCTAAGAAGCAACACACTCTGGTCTACTCCAAGAAGTCCGACGAAAGAATGAGGTTCAGTTTTTACCTTAAGGGTTACCTCCTTGCTGGGCAATGTTTCCACTGGTGCGGTGATATCAATCTGTGGGAAATCATAATGGGTATGCCTTGGGTTGGATATGAGTTTAAAAGGTGCTTACCATGTTTATAAAGTCTTTTTCGATGTCGACAGTCTTATCGGCGGAAATCAACAACCCATTAGCAATGTAATGGACAAGAATGGTGGCTTGGGGAACCATTTCGAAACGGGGTAGGAATGTAATATTTTTGAAAGAATTTCCTTCTGCCACTGGTACATAATGATTAAGGATGATGTTACCTCGTGCGAGAATGGTAAACATGAAGGAAGGTAGTTTGCCTGTGGACACCACATTAATGTGCAGCTTCTGCCTAAGCTTCGGCCTGTAAAGTGAAAGATATTGTACCCAAAGTATTTTCAAACAATTCCCTATGCCTAAAATAACTTACTTCTTAGTAATAACCTCAATCCTGAGGGCTTTGTCAGTCTTATATACGTACTGACGAAAGTCGGCAGCGTTTTCAAATTTAGCTGTGATAAGACAACTCTTGCAAGTCGAATCGGGAAACATTATCTTTTGGGTGGCGACGCTGTTATGAAGGGCAGCTCTAAAATTTTGAGTCATCTGACAGCACAATACGTTGAAGTCAACAATCTTTGAAGAGTTCAAGACGGGAGAACCATCTAAATTTTTGACCACAATGTAGAAATTGTACAGTTTTCCTGGACTGTAATGAGTGGGCCAAAACAGATCCTCCAGCTTATGGCGATGCTCATGTAGGTTTACGTAAGCAGATCCGTTGTGCCTGAGGTCGGTAAGCTCCTCCGTAACAATGGCAGTCATTTTCAAAGGACTCTTGGCGGTAGCTGATATGGGAAGCTCGACATTGACCTCTCCGTCGATCGGCATTCTTTTCTCGGTTTTACTGCCCTCGATCGAAACGACGACGGTTCCCTTGACGGGCTTCCTAAAGGTGTACCGGGCTTTTATCGTTGCCTTAATATTCCCAGCACTAGACTCCACATCTTTTTGGGTTAAAACAACCACCTCAAACTTAGGCACCACATACTTGTCCACCACTAGCACCTTGGTCTCCTTGACCTCGTCCTTCACCGTGACTGCCAGAGTCCAGTTGCCCAGGACTGGCCGATTAGACAGCTGAAGCTCACCAGAGTAAACACCCTTGGTCGGCTTAACATTCTTCCACTGCTTGATAAGGTTCGCAGCCCCGTCATGGATCTCAATAATTATAGGCTTATCGATCACTGCGGGTCGTGTGTGCTTATCTAAGAACAGTGCTCTGAACTGAACCTTATCGCCGGGCTTGTACGTGGCCTTGTCCGACTGGATATATATCCAATTCTTGTCTTCGGCAAAGTTTAACTTGGTGGAGTTCTGGAAGGTAACACCGCCAGAACCCTGAACATTTAACTGATAATCACCACCCTTCAGTTTTGGAATATTGAAGTTAATGGTTTGTGTTGACATGGGTTGAATGACAACATTCATGGTCCTAGTGAATGACGGTCCGTTTAGCCTGACTGAGACTTGACTTGGTAAAGGTGCATTGTGGATGGTAACGGCAACGTTGTAAGGGTTGTCAGATCGAATTGTTCTAGGTGCCACAATGTAATAAATACTGGGGCTGTTTATATAAACGTGAACAAGGAATTATGCGTTAAAATATATACCATATTTAAGTGAGAATTTTCGTCGAAATTTTATGCATCATTCATTAATATATGTTATATAATATATAAGCGGAATAAGACCTTATCAAGCGACAAGTCTATAGGTTATCATGAGCTTCTGGGAAAATACCGTTTTATTCCAGAGTGTTGGTGTATAATTTATGAGAAATGCGTATGACTCAGTTATTCTTAGTTTTAATGTTGTTTCTTAAGAAAAAGTACAGTTAGCGAATAACATATTACATAATGTTAAAATAATTAAATGCTCAATAAATCAAATGTTCGTCAACTATGTCAATACTTGTACATAATTTTTTACAATATAAACTTCATTCTACTTTCAAAACCACTCACCTAGTTGCATTGATTAATAATGCAAAATGCAACAAAAACGGACTTAGAAGTAGCCACAACATATTTGAAGTCCGTTCAAAAAATATTTTTTTCACTTTTACAAAACACTGACTATTGTTTGACTGGACAATTTGAGCGACGGCAGGCAAATGAGCTCTACTCTGAAAGATCCGCTATTTGTAGCATCATGGCATTGCCATTGCCATTGAGCACACAGAGAGAATTTCAACCTTAAGAAATTGAGACTTTAGATTTTTATACCCATTACTCGTAGGGTAAAGGGTTTCAGCGCAAATCACAGGAAATTCTTCTTGTTTTTTACTGAAATTCATTTTTGAAAAAATATATTTTTAATTTTAACATATTACAGTTTTGATATAAATACTTCTGGGGACATGGAATTTATTTATGTTTAAGTAAGAGGCACTTTGTAGTGCAGTGACAGGTTTCGTAAACTAAAACAACGCGAAAAGAGGGCGCAGCAACTAGCACCGCAATTTCTTTAACACCGTCAACCGTAACAACAACAACAACCGCAACTGTAACGACAGCGCGATTAACGACGTCATCAGCTAGCAGCGCAAAGTTTGCGCTTTCAAGCTTTCCAGTTCAAAATATGCCAGAGCTAGCTTATAATAAGCTAAACTGGCAACACTGGCGCAAACATTAATACTTCTGCCGCTGCGCTGCCCGAAAAAGAGAACAAAAACAAAGAAAATATTAAGCCGGCTGTGCAGATTGGTATGGATCGCTACATCCAAATCAAAAGGAAGCTAAGCCCCCTAAACTCTCAACGCAAAATAACCCGTGGCAATGCTAACATAGCTGCAATAGAAACCGCCCTCTAACTCAAACCGTTTTAAAATCTTGGCAGACTATGAGGATGATGCCGAATCTACTGAAGTCGAAAAAAGGAAGACTAAGCCCCCGCGCGATTTACATACGAGAAAAAAGTTCCAACGTTCTTGTCAACAAAATTATAGAGCTTATTGGCAAGGACAATTTTCACATAATACCACTCGTAAAGGGCAACATCCAGGAAACAAAAGTTTCAAACGAAGTCTGAAGATAATTACAGAGTATTATCAAAATATCTCACTGACAAAAAAATGAACTTTTATACGTATCAGCTAAAAAGCTGACAGTTTTGTTAATTCACTGGAATCTGTACTCGTCTCTGCAGCTCGAGTTTCAACACCTCATACTATAAACACACAATGCAATCAAAAGAAGTCAAATCTACAAATCGAACAGCTCGTCCTCGAAAAGCGACGCTTACGTCGAGCATGGCAATTTCACAGATCGCCATCTGCTAAGCAAAGCTTAAAACATGCCTCACGTCAACTGGCTCAAGCTCTACAGCAAGAAGAAACATATGTCCACCGCCGCTACATTGAGCAATTGTCAACTAATAGTACAAAACACTCACTATGGAGAGCTCACCCAACTCTGAGCTCACCGAAAGAAACCGTGATGCCTATTAGAAAGTCCACGGGCGGCTGGGCGCGCAGTGACGCAGACCGAGCCAGCACGTTTGCCACCTTAAAAATGTCTTCCAACCAAATCCTGCCACTAATGTGTTTACTTTGCCGACTCTACCATATGAGCCCCAGCCTCAACATGAGCCAATTGAGTTTCGCCCAAACGAAATCGTAAGCATTATCAAAAGACAACTGAATCCGAAAAAATCCCCGGGCTGCGACGTCATAACTCCCAAAATGATCATTGAGCTCCCATACTGCGCCGTTTGCACTCTCACCCAGCTCTTTAATGCCATCGCAAAACTTGGCCACTTTCCAGTGAGATGGAAAAAGTCAATTATAATAATGATAGCAAAACCGGGGAAAGACCACACTATCCCCACGTCATATAGACCTATAAGCCTACTCTCTTGCCTATCTAAACTCTTTGAAAAATGCCTAATGACTCGGATAAACACATACCTGAGAATCCAGGAAGGAATCCCGTCACAACAATTTGGGTTTCGTGAAAAGCATGGAACAATTGAGCAGGTCAACCGGATAACATCAGAAATTCGAAACGCTTTCGAAAAACGAGAGTACTGTACTGCCATATTTTTAGATGCCTCTCAAGCATTTGATAGAGTCTAATGTACAGGATCAAGACAATGCTCCCCTACAGCATCCACAAGATTTTAGAGTCTTACCTTCACGACAGAAAATTTGTTGTGAGGTGCAAGACTGCTATATCTGATGATTACACTGTTGGAGCTGGAGTTCCTCAAGGTGGCGTGCTAGGGCCAACACTAAATGTCCTCTACACAGCAGACGTCCCGACAAGCACACGTCTAACAACATCTACGTTTGCCGATGACACAGCTATTCTTAGCCGTTCTAAATGCCCGATTCAAGCAACTGCGCAGATAGCTCGTCATATGCTCGATGTTGAAAAATGGCTATCAGATTGGCGAATTAAAGTCAACGAACTAAAATTCAAACACGTTACGTTCACTCTGAACAGGCAATACTGCCCGCCGATTACGTTAAACAACACTCTTCTCCCACAAGCAAACGAAGTAACTTAACTAGGAGTACATCTCTACAGAAGACTCACATGGCGCCGGCACATTGAAGCGAAAAGTACACACATAAAGCTGAAAGCCAGCAGCCTGCCTTGGCTTATCAACGCCCGGTCACTTCTTAGCCTTAAATATAAAATCATGCTGTACAACTCGGTACTAAAACCTATATGGATGTACGGCTCCCAGTTATGGGGGAACGGGAGCAATAGCAACATGAACATTGTTCAGAGAGTTCAGTCGAAGATCCTGAGAACAATCACCGGGGCACCGTGGTACGTTCGCAACGAAAACATACACCGCGACTTAAAAATTCAACCAGTCAAAGAAGTGATCGCAGAATAAAAGGTAAAGTACTTCACCAATCTATCGGTACATCCTAACCACCTGGCGAGAGGTCTAAGAAGGTTGAGCAACCAATCACGCCTTCGTCGCAATGACCTACCCATTCAGCGACCGACCTGAGGGACACGCAACCAGAATGCAGTCTTAGTATACTGTTAGTTAAATTTTAATGTTAAGATTCGTCAACTTATTGTTAGTCTCAAAATTAAGAGTAGATTCAATAAATAAAAGCAAAGCTATAATAAAAAAAAAAGCTTTGATAAGACACTGGAACGGGAGGTGATTACATTTTTCCAAATAAAATGCAGCCATGTCTTCTGTAACACTGCCTTTGTTCTCAGTCCAATTGGTGACTATTGCTTACTCTGATAACAAAATACGTCTTTGGTAAAATTTATATTCAAACTATTTTAATAAAAATATAAGTATGTATTTTCAAGTAGATAGTTTTTTAAAAGAAATATATAAAAAAACAATTGGGGACAAACATTTATATCTGTTAAGATGTTCTTTCAATCGGAAGCTATTAATAAAGTTAGAAAACTAATGTGTAGTTTTACTCAGAGACAGCTTGTTAAATTCATAATTTTCCAAAAACTTCTTAAATTGCTTTCCCCTGCCAGACATTTTAAAGCCTTTCGTAAGCCCATGTGAATTAACAGCCACTTATACTTCCTGTAGATAGGCCTCCCAAAAGTATTTCAAATTTTTTATTCTCACGCTTTAACAGACCCCCACCTACAATGCTGTTGGATCCACAAATGTTTGTACATTAGCAACATTTGTGCGAAGCCATGGGCATCGTCACGGATGCTGATTATATTGAAAATTATTAGAGAAACATTGCAGCACTCACACCCCTGTGGAGTTGGTGGCATCAGTGGGCTAAAGGTGGACTGGAAGGTCTGGATTCTTTGGTTTTGCACTGTATGTGGGCTATAAAAATTGATTGCATACTTTGCGGCACACCAAGTGCGCGATGACTGTGTGCGGATATGTGCGTGAACGCTAGTCAAATAAATGTGAGCAGATATTTGAAAGCTTATTTAAAAATATCTTTTATTTAGTTTACTAAAAGAAATAAATTTACTTGATAGAAATGATGATAAAAATATATTAGGAACAACCATTTTTTATTTATTAATTATACATCCAAGCAAGAAATTCTTACCTTTTTATATTGTTTTCCCCTCACACTATTTAAGCTAGCTGTATTTAACCATAATTTTAAAATTTATGATGTGCACACAATAAAGTGTCAAATATCGAGACACATCAGGAGGCCGACACCAATGGGAGAGCTATAGATCCAGGACAACTTTACCAGCTTGCACCACCAGGAACCTCTGAAAATATTATAAAAGTTCTGGCATGACCAAAAGTGGAAAAAGCAAAACCAAAAATGGTCGGAATATAGAATGTTATACCTTTTCGGTTTTGTAATTCAATTCTTGGTAAAACTGCATTTACGGTTACAATATACATTTTCGGCCGCTTCTCTCAAAACTAGACCAAAAATGCGAAATTTGGCCCACTCTGAATTTGCGTCCACAGCAAATGAATGTGATATCTCGTTGAGCTCTCAATTCAAATCCCAAAAAAACTGAATAAATATACTACAATTTGTATGAACAGTTGTAAACCAGAACATTTTCAAAATAAATAGGAAAACTTGCCCAATAAACCATTTTGAACTATTAATTAAATTAATAATCGATGGGTATTCACATCTAGAACTCTATATTTCTTTTTTTTGTTATTTATCAATTGGAACGTTGGCAGTATCATATGTGCTTTTGAAATTTAATCCTAATTGATAAACACACGGAATGCGTTGTACTTACATTTGAGTTGCACACTTGAGTTTCTTTTATTTGTTGCTGCAACACAAGCCACGGGTTATACTTACAGAAAATAAACTTTTTAGTTACTTTACAGTGAATATGATGCATTTGATTGCGCCACCAGGAACCTCCATTGAAAAGGAAAGACAATCAGAAATACAGTACGAGTAAACTGAAACCCTACAGCAAAAATTGTATTTTATGGTAATATTTTGGTCCATAGATCTGAAGGCAATGAGAAGGAATGTTCCACCTGGCCATTAGCCGTAAAATTGTCTTGGTAAGAATATAAAGATATTAGAGTGGTTAATCATAAAGATTTCCTTTTACAAAAGGACAACGATGCACGTAATTGATCACAAGATGTTTATTGCCGCTCGACGAATACAATCCTACTGGCGTGCGTACCGCATTCGTAATCTGCTCCATCGGCGCTGGCATGCTGCAGTTGTCATTCAGCGCTGGTGGCGCGGCTTCCGGATTCGGCGCATCCTGTGGGAGCTGGTAGAGAGGCGTTTGCAACACACGCTCCACGAGCACTTCAATCAAGCGGCCATCCGCATTCAGGCCCTGTTTCGGGGTTGGCAAGACAGACGCTACGTCCATGATGTACAAAACCTGCACGGCATGCAAACCTCCGCCGCCGAAGAACTTATCAGTTGCTTCATTCTCCAGTTTCATCAAATTAAGAAAACCGAATCTCTCCCAGGCCTCTTTTCACTGCGAAATTCAGTGTAAGTAATCTAGTTGAATTAAAAAAAAGTTGAAAAAGTGTTTAGCTCTAGGTAATTTTAATATTTTAATTCACATAACTTATGTTTAAAAAAAAGAAAAAGAAAGGATATTTTAAAATAGATTTAAGGCCTTTCCTTACAGCTGCCTACCAAAGGTGGAAAAACTGATGGCCACAATGGTGTACCGCTTTCACAATGGTCGGGTGTTATCTATGGTGGCCAACATGATGACCCAAAACGAGGACCATCGCAAGTACTTTGAATCCGCTAGATTCCGTACCCAGTTACCCTATGCCGGGCCGAATGTAAACCAAATGTGTCATATAACAGAAGAAGACAAAGTGGAAGTCAAGGACTTAACTATAGATCGACGATATGGACAAATAGTTGCCGAGTATGAGGAATCCCAGCTACATAAACAATTAAGAGATAGCCATCGGCGTTCTAAGACTCGTAGGTGTTTTTAATGTTAACAAAATTAGTTTAAATTGTTTTTTTGTATTTTGTCATAGGCAAAGTTCAGGGACAGTTGGGCCATATAAAGTCTCAGGAAATGGCTGCAAAACGCAAATTCTGTGCGGATGTCAAAGATCGCTTGCTTAAATGGAAGTTGCGGAGCGGAGCCGACGTCAATATTGACAAAATTTTTTTGCAAAGTCCAGGTGTGGAATTCCTGAATAATTGTTTCAACATGGAGATCCCACAAGTCCTTTATGATTAAGCTATTTGAGATAAATTCAAAGTGCAACAGACATACATTTTTATACATTACAAAACCTTCTCACATACTTAGCCAAAAGGTTTTTGAATTATTAAACTTATATCACTTGGGTATAAACAAGAATTGCAATCGAGTAAAACGAATTAGAGTTTAGACAGTTTCTCAGTGTGATGTAGTTCCAACCCCCAGAACCTAAGGAATTGGCAACATGTGCCTTTGACTGTTTACTAATTAGCACCTATTTATTCACCTTTGCTTTCTTTAATTTTGTTCTACAGTCGCCTTCTGCTTACCCCTCCCCATCGACCAGCCACATTTTTCATGCGAAGAATTTTCCTTTGTTTTCAGCAGGCATTTAATTTATTTTACTCTTGGCCGGGCCAAGAAAGAGCCGGCATACGGGAGCAATTTGTGAGCTGCGTGGTAAATCTTGGCATGCTTACCTATAAATATTTTACATGGCTACAATAGCCTTCTCTCGTCCGGGCAAACGTGGCAGCCACACATGACCCAGCCCGGGTCGGAATACCATGCCCAAGATACGGCCTGCTCAGAACCGGTGGCATACGTGCAGGAGCATTATCCGCATACTTGAAGCGGGACGGGTCCTTATACGTGACTACCGTCTGCTGTGCCCGAACCCCTGCAAATGCGGCGATCCTGTGATGCGGCGGGGGTCTGGCAAATTAGATTTGCCTATAATTAATATGCACGATATGTGGCGTTAACTTGTGTGAAAATTACTCGGCGCCCTGACGTGACGGAGCGTGGTTCGTGTGGAACGCGAGAACAAAAACCATATACTCCAATTACAATCTATCTATTCGGCACTGGAGCTCCTTGTGTTATTCGATTGCGATTCGCGACCGTAAGTATTTCCTAATTAGTTGTTGATGACAAAGAGACGTGAGTGATTTCTGAGGGTGGGTGTTTCGGAAAGTACCGCACAAAATTAAATATGTAAGAAGTTGTGCTACTAAAATCAATTGTTAAATTGGCTTACCATAAAAATAAATTAAATAAAATTAGTCGAACTAAATGACTTACCTGAGAAATATTAATATTTGCTCTTATTTAATAATAGGTATAGGGGTTTGTGCTTGTTTTTTAAGAACTCTACTTGGAACGGGAAACCTTATATAATTATCGAATAACTAGTGCAAGACTTTTTCGCAATAGCTACAGAAGGAGGAACACATGTTTAGCAAAATCAATTGCCAGACTTTGGTGGCTCTCCAAATATCCAGGATGAACGATTTTCCTTGTCCTTGTCTTTCCTCGGTTTCCTTCATCCCATCCAATTGAGGCGCTGCCGTACAAACTTTTAAGTTTTTAATTAATTTGTTTTGCTGCGGTCCCAGTCACCGCAACGCAGCTTTTTTTTGAAACTCAAACTCTGCTCATTTTTCCTTCGGTGGCAGGAGAAAAAAAGGTTAAGTGGTTTCATTTGGCAAACATTTACCCAGACCCGAAACTTGAAGTTCCCCGGCCGCTCATCAATGCCCAAGTGTGTAAGACTTTTAATAGGCTTTTGTGTGGAAAATAAATTGATGCGGTGCACCTGTAAAACGCTCCAACAATGAGGCTCCGCCTGAGCCAGACGAATGTCTGTCCGTGTGATGCGGCCGACCGCATCCCAGCCGGAAAGTTTGAGGCGAAGGCAGCCGGGATTCAGTTAATTTTGAGTAAATTGTTAGAGAATTGTTTTCTGTTGCTGATGGGGTCTGCTGCTTGGGGGCTTCCTAGCCTCATGTGGGTGACTTGCGGCCTTGACTCGAGAATTATGGCATTTAATTACGAAGCGCTTTGAGATACTCAATGTCGGGGAATGTGGAGGTGATTGAAATTTAAAGTGCTGGCATAGTAGATGCTTTTTGGTGGGGACTGGAACTTTATTTCAAAGTTTTTGCACATCATCCATAGTTAGTGAAGTATTTTAAAATGTATCCCATTGCTGCTGGATTCTCCTGCTGCACTAGATGTCCCGCTCGAAAGACCCAGAACATGCTTAGTCGTCCACCGTGCTTTTCGTAGCCCTCGAGCATTCCGTCAATTCGGACGGCAGTACGAGGTGCCTTCGCATACTCCGACTTGCGGCCCCACTTCAGTCTACTGATCCAACGAACGGTTCCGGGCGTAGCACAGAGGAGGTCCAAAATTCCCGAGTAAATGCCCACCTGAATAGGCGTCTCGTCTAACAACTTTGTAACTAAAATGAGATATTTAAGGTAAGAGTTTTGAAGGTAAATCTGATTCTTTAGGTAACAATTTGCTTTTAATAAAACAAAAGGCAAATTACCTATATTACTGGCCGGTTTGAAAATATCACGGCCAAGGCGTTCGAAAACCGTGGAATTTTGTTCCATCCACACGGGCATGTTAGAAAGTCCAAGAGCCTGAGTAACATTGAATCGAAGGAATTGGCTCATTTGCGGATCTTCACCGTACCGATAGACCTCATCTTTATGGACGCGCTTTTGGATGTTGTAGATAAAGACTCCGGCTCCGCTTACGGAGATCTCTTCCTGAACTTCGGAAGCCTTCATTAGAGCATGGAGCCACTTTTCATCGTAGACGAGAGTGGCCAACTCGCCCGCCAGCCGTGATATTCTGTGATATCCATTATCGTCCACAACGCCCGCCTGAAGCAAAAAGGGTGCATACGACAGGACACTGTCCAGTGGGGAGGTCCAGGGATTGCCAACTACCACGGACTTCAGATTACAGTCCACTTGCCCTTTTTTCTTGGCCAAATACAGCTCAAGTGCGAACTCAGGGGCCATTTTGCCACCATAACTTTCGGAGAAGATGTGCAGGGGCACGCTTTTAAAAATCGGATACTTGTTGAGGAAATGTTTAATCAGCTGAACGAGATCAAGGGCGATCTGCCGATTGGTTCTGGCATATCGACCGTGTTTCTCAACATAAGCGAATCCTGTACCTACGGGACTATCAACAAAGAGCACATTCATATGCCGCACCCAACTACTTTCCCGGGGATTGCCATTAATGTCGACTGGGCCCAGTTGCTCGAAGATTCCACTGCCCGTGGAGGCTACTCCGGGTCCGCCCTGCAGCCAGATAACCAGCGGTCTTTCCGTAAAATGTGTAACATTTGCAGTGGTGTACAGGAGCCAGTAGAAAAGATGAGCGCCTTCGCGAACCTCGACATAGTCCCACTCCTGTAAGCCGAGTCCGAGGTCAACGCGTCCTGGAACAATAAAACTATTTCTTAGGCGAGTCTCTGACTTTTGAGCTCTCTGACGGATCGTATTTTGAAACTACAGTCTGTTTTTTATTAAAGCACGAAGTTTAGATTGCTTAAACAAGACGAACCCACCTTGCACCGAGGTCAGCGATATGAAAAAACATTGGGCCCACACCCAAATATTATTTTTGTTCAGATTGAGGCGCATATCGTGATCACAATTCAACCGAAAGGAAAGTGGAACTAAACTGCTTGCTCCGGCGGGAAATGCGCACTGATCTGACGCAGCTTTTGGCCGATTGCTAATTATACTTGGAAAAACATTCAAATTTCCAATGAGCACTAACAATTGAGAAAACATGTGGTAATCGCAAGTGAGATTACCCTTTTTTTTATATTTTAAATACTATTTTAATATTATTTCAATTTGAAACTAGGCAGAGATAATTTATTTTTCCCTTGCGAAAGTTTTAACGCATACTTAGGTAAATAAAATTAATTTATCTTTAAGTACACTTTAAATTTTTGTGACTGGAAAAAAATACTCTCATAGAATACCCTAGAAATGTTTATAAAGTTATTGAAGAACTGAGAGTACTTGTGGAAGAGCCTTTGTGTCTGGCATACGCTATTATTATGTAAACATTGACCCCCAACCGAAAGACCCACCCACGATACATATTAGCTTTGCATTCGATTGAGACGTCAGAAGAAAATAATGAAAATAGGCATCTGGCATTCCAGGTGTAAAATTAGATATAAAATTATTCGTTTATTCGTGGTTTCTCGTGATTTAAGTTAGTTTAATTGTTAAGTTACGTTTACTTCTCTGAGGACTCTGCGTCATATTGAGTGACGGATTTCAGGACATATTGCATGGCCGTTGGATTATCGCTGGGAGCCAAGTGTCCCGATCGATTAATCCAGTACATTCCGAATTTGCCTCCGACTTTCTGGAATCCCTGGAGTATGCCATCGATAACGATGGCAGTGCGATTGGCCTGCAGATATTCCGACTTATTATTCCAGGCCCAATCCTTGATCAAGGACAAAGTGGCTGCTGTCGGCACCAGAGTATCCAGCTGGCCAGAATAAATATTTATCTTAACGGAGGTCTCGTTTAGCAGGCGGGGAACTGAAACAAATATTTTTCAGATATAAATATTTGCAATTAATATGCAAGAGAATATATTTGCCTCTCTAGTATACTCACTCGCATTATAGTCCGATTTAAGGCGATCTTCGTGTAGGCTTGTTAACACATCGATAACCTGGGAGGCATAGACACTGCCATTAATCTGCAGGGCCACACTAACGTTCTCCATTAAATCATTCAACTCAGGCCCATAGCCGTAGGTTCGATCTTCTGAGGGATCCAAATGGGTCTGTGTGTTATATAGGTAGACCCCTCCGGTCAGCTCCTGCATAAGATCATACCACTCCAAATACTCATTGGTGGCGTTATTGAATTCGTGTCTTTTAAGAGCGCTAAGGATGCGTTCTTCTTGGGCATCGAGTAGCGCCACTCCATCCTCATCGATCAAGCCATTGACATACAAGTAGTTTGAGTGTTCCCGGCAAATGTGTCGAGTTGATATCCATGGATTGCCGATGGTCACGGACTTAAGGGTTCCTGGCTCAGCCAACTCTCCTGCTTTCATGGCCTCATCGAGCCAGATAGCCAAGGCAGGAGCCATTTTACCACCATAACTCTCCGAGAAAATATGCAGCGGGACGCTCTTGAACTCCTGATGCTTCTTATAGAAGTGCAGCATGAACGTCAAAAGGTCGTCGACAAGCTCTTCATTGTTGGTCACCAGCAGACTAGTATTATCGGCATAGCTAAAGCCCGAACCCACTGGGTTATCGATGAACAGCACGTTTACATGCTGCACCCAGTTTCCCTCCCGTGGGTTACCTTTCGTATCCACAGGTCCCAGTTCCTGGAAATTGCCCAGCGCCGAGGAAGAGCCCCCCGGTCCTCCCTGAAGCCATAGCACCAGTGGTCGTTCCGTGTAACTGCTCACATTAGCCGTGGTGTAGTAGAGCCAATAGAACATATGGGCCCCCTCGCGAACGTCTACGTAGCCCCAGTCCTGCTCTCCTGGTCCGAATCCCTTGCGGGCCTCAGAGATCCCCAATAGGAGGCACAAAATTGCGAAAACACCGCACCACATTCTCAAAGGTTGGTTAGACAACCACTGGAGTCTTCACGATCGAAATCTGGGCTATTTATCGTACTGGAGAGCATTCCATTTAGGATGGAACGTGACCATGAATTTAAAAGATTCTCTTTATATGATTTTATTTGTTTAGAAACAAATTTGTTTTCTGCATATAGTCGCTCCCACACCCTTTAAATATTTTCGTATGTAAAACTAAACAAAAAAATTTTTGAATTTAACAAAAAAATTTTAGAGAACCTTAAAAAATGGTTATCCCTAAGGAAAAGTGATTATAATTATAATATTTACACAGACAAAAAGAATAATGAAAACATATAGAAAAAATTTTCAAAGTTAAACTCTTCATGATTTTAAATATTTCTTTGTAAATATTCCATGCATAAAAAATCGTCTTACACTTAATTTTATTTTTAAAGTGCCAAAGTACAAGGTATCTTTTCGTCGATACGTTTTTCTTATTTATTTAATTTATTTAATTCACTACCCGCCCTCATTTGTTTATCAATTCACACCATAAGCGCCATTTCTTAAAGTGCTCGTATAAACATTTATCTTTGGCAAGTTAATTTAAGAGCCAAGAAAGAATATATTTATACCCCAAAAAATTGATCGCTTAAAAATGAATGCATTTTTTCTCTCCCTTCACCAATTGACTAAAATAAATTTTTGGTTTTTGCATATTTAAATATCCTTTATATAGCTCAATATAGTTTCGTGTTAAAAACAAATCCATCTCTACCAACTACTTGTTAGTTTTAGTATCACATAAAAATGGGGAAATGGCAACACCTGTCATTTTCTATTGGATAATTAAGCTATTTATTTTTCAGAATGTTTAAATTTTATTTCATTTCATTTAACTTGTTGTTCTTTTTGGAAGTAAGATATTTTATTTTAACATACTTTTAGGGTCTGTTGGCTTAGTCTTAAACAAGCTTAGCGTATTTTTGGGGTGTTTTTATGAAAGATCAGATCTCAACCATCAATATTTAATAAACGTCAGTTAATCAGAATACACTTTGATTACAGACTGTTGACAACTTGCTTTAAAGTTGTCCCGTGCATTAACCAACTCTGCAATTTCCTTTTTTATTTTCCCCAGCAACTTGTCTGCTTTTCATGTCCAGCGCCGATGTTTTTATGTCGTAATTGTCAAAGTTAAAATTGCTTAATTTCAATTTCAACGCGTCTAGAACAATGGACAGTTTTTGTGAGTACCAAAAGGAAAAAAGGAACGACTGTCCGGATGCCCAGAAAAAAGGACTGGAAAATGAATCCGATTTCTGTTTTCTGTGGCTGCACCCGGAAAAGTAATTAACAAATGTTTGTTTGTTCCTCGCAAGTCAAAAGCAGGACTGCAAAAAAGCTTACGTTGCGAGCGGCTCCTTGGTTCACGGCTCGTTTCGACTGCTTTTGACAACGGCAAGTGGTTGGAATCCACAGAACCGCCCACCACCCAGCCAAACGACCCACTACCAATTTTGACCGGCTTGCAGTGCAGTTTTAATGAGTGCGCCACCTGGCGGCGGCGGCGACTGCTGTCATCGAAGGCCAGTTGACGCTGGGATGCGACCGCAAACGGAAATCAATTTGCCACGGGAGCAAAACCAAAATTGCCAGTTCAATGCGTTTTCGATTGTCCATTAAGCAGCTCCTGCAGCTCGGTTTTTGCCCGCTGCCAAAAGTCATTTTGAAGCAATTGGCCCGGCTGGTAGAAAGATCCAGCAGATACGGATACAAACGTTGAAGGAGAGGGTCGTTCCGAGAGACAGATTTTCCTAGGATTTACCAATTTTCTATATACAATTTTTGACCTTATAGCTTCAAATTTATTTATTAGGAAAATAAATTTAGTTTTTGTTTTTAAGATTATAGCTTGGTAATTAAAATAAAATCATCCTCAAATTATTATTTGGGCGGTTTTTTTGATTTTTATTCATGAACCAATAGTATAAAATTCGATTGTATTAATTGAATTTAAACATCTATACTTAGCTTATCCACTTCTATAAATATGATATCAATGAAAACAAGCAAACAGCATTTGGATATTTGGAACACAAGAGTCGAGCCTGGGAACAGTGGGCACCAGCAGCGCACTCACATGCCAAATAAATTGTTGCTACAGTGCCTAGCCCAAGCTTGCCCCCGAATGCAGATGCTTAGCAAGGAGTTGGGATGCAGATTCACTCGAGTGCGAAATTGCAAACAGGAGCAAAGAGGAAGTGGGTGGGATGAACAACACACACACACACACAACCCTTGAGCTCACAGTGTACTGTGGGTGTTGCCAAATTCAGCACAGCCCATTTGACGTTGTTTTTCATGTCACTTCGCCAATTGTGACTCCAAATTTCAGTCTCTGTTACTGGCAGTGCGTTGTTTTTTGTCACGTAAATTACAAGTTTTTCATTTGTGTTTCGGCTGGCGAACTTGGCCCTTAATTTCGCTTTATCTTTTTTCACCACTGACGCAGCAATATTTTACACTATACCAGAATGGGTCAACCAAAGAATAAATACTGGTAAAGGATAATATCAAAAGGATAGGACAAAGAAAATTAGGATAAGTAAATTGTAATGGTTAGATTTTGAGTATAAAAAAAGGATTAATGGTTATTTGTTTAATGGGTTAACATTAAAACTAGCTAAATTAATAAATGGAAAATATTTACTTACCTATTTTACCTATGGCCTTCAAAGCACACAAAAAATAAGTGATCAAATAAAACGGTTTTTATTTGGCTTTTATCAATATTTCATACGCACACTTTCAACTTAAGGAGACACTAAAGCTAACGCTATAGCTAAACATTTTAGTTGTACAGTTTTTCAAACAGACACATAAGAACAGAACAATGAATCTGCCTAGAAACCACAATCTTAACAATAAATCCTCGACAAAACCCAACGAAAGCAAACATTTAGAATCCTGCTTAGAGAGTAGATATATATAAGTATGTATATAAATGTAGGTATATATTCCTGGTGAGTATGCGAGGATGCGCTCGATGCCTATTTACACTTGACTTAGGGTTAGAGGAGTACGGGTCTGCGGAAATGCAATTGTCTTTACAGTTACGTACTTAACATAGGTTTAGGTATATATGAGTAGGTATATTCGGTATGCTGAGGACCTTTCACTGTTGATTTGCTAATCGATTTGCTAAATATGGGTTCCATAATTGCTGAGCCCGAGCAGGGGTTCTTTATCGTCCCAAGTCCCACCTGAAGTCCATCTCTCCTGCCAGTGGCCATCTTATCACCGTTCCATCCTGTCAAAATATTCGACCTCCAACAGGTTCCTTCGCCGATTCTCCCAGGCGCCCAGGACCCAAACACTTGGCCACAGAAGAAGAATCAGGATAAAATTCCAAGCAAATGGTCCTGAAGCGGCATCTAAAAAAAAAAAAAAAAAAAAAATTGGCTTAGCTCAGGAAGAGATTGAAATCGTATTCGGGAAGGGCACCCGCCGGTCAAATTAATCTTTGAATTAATTGCTTCCAGCTTAGCGCAGAGCATTAATAAATCGCTGCCGGTCAGAGGACCAAAACACACAAGGATAATAAGGTGCTCGGTCCTTTTTCGCTAACTTTGATTTAATGCCCCTCAGTTTATCATTGTAATGGCGTGCGTGTAAATGTATCCCCTGTGCATATATGTTTGGCTTGTAAAAACAATCAGGCCAAGATCTGTGGGCCCTGTAGGGTCAGTTGCTCTCTTCATCTGCCTATCTGTTGGCTAATTTTTAAGCAGACAAAGCTCACCTACTAACGACCGGAAGTTAATCAAATGGAAAATTTATTGCCTTGCAAGAAAAAAAAGAATGAAGTTGAAAAATTACTAAAAATGTCCTTGGCTCTTTGCTTAAAGGTATTTTGAACTAATTATTACAGAAAAGTATGAATTGATAGGGTATTTTCCATATATACTTTAATGAATGACTCTTCCCGTCATACGTATTAGAAACGATATATATGGAGATTTATTGTTCTCTTTTCTAAAAAACTTACTAGAATGAATTAGAAATAGCTCATTGTGCTCATCCACATCACCGGGCTGATCAAAAGGATACATGTTCATATCTGGGGATCTGCCAGATGCCAAAATCCTGGGACGATCCTCCTCGATCAGTTTCTCGCTCTCCTGCGCATAGATTTCATGTATTCGGGCAGAACATTTTAGCTAAAGAATTTAATTATGATTAGGTTCAAGTTTTTCAGATGAAACAACAAACAGAATTACCTTCAAGCGACTCTTAATGAAGTGATGCACTGTCACCACGAAATTGATCTCCAGAACGGCTGACTCCAGGTGCTCAGCTAAATGTCTTTGAATATCGTAGATGCGGAGGTAATTGGGCGGCACTTGTATGTCATTGATCCACCAGGTGAGATTAGCCGCTGGCTTGGAGTAATCGGATGAGCAGTTACCATTCACAACGTCCCCCAGACGGTATCTTGAATGGATGCCGGTAATTATCGGCCGTTGGGTTGGCAATTCTGGGGGCAAAACATGGGAGATGTCAGTGACAGGTGGGCGGATCAAGCCTCGATTACTTACCAACCACCTCCATGTCGGCGGCCACGATGGAAGTGTCGAAGGTGGGTGCATCCGCGGACACTTCGCAGGCAAATTTCCCGGATATTGAGGTTGGAACATTTCTCAAAAGGACATGGCTGGCATTCGATTGGGTTGTCTGTTGAAAATAAAATATATTTTAAAATCCTATATCACTTTCGGCTACAAAATTATAAAATAAACCATGTATAAATTAAAAAATCTTGTATTTACATTTATATCGAAATCAATTAAATCTAGTTTTATAATGATATAGGCAAGTGTTATTTTTACCTTTGATAAATTAATTGTGTACAGCGAAATAAAGTCTGTAACGCAAACCCACAGCTATTTGCTCTCAGCACTTACGTAAGTGCTTACATAAGATAGGCGTAACCTTCATTGTTTCCCCTCGACAGTTTTTTAATATATACTGTTTATTTCATGCGGTTTCTGTCCTTTTGCAGTGTCGTTTTTAATATCGAAATGTCAGCAAAAGTCAACAATAAGAGCGCAGCAAATGGAAAGTCAAAATTGTTAATTAAAACTTTTTAACATGCATAAAACAAACATGGATGCGATGCACACATGAACATCGAAAACAGGTCGATTGTTTACAGACAGCCCCTTGCTGCAACTGCTGCTGTCGTTAATACCGTCAGCAACATCACAGCAGCAACAGCAACACCACGGCAGCAAAAGCACGGAAGCAACAAAGAAGCCCATCAGCAGCACTTTGCCTTCAGTTATTTAAAGCAATTTGCACTGGCAACTCTTTTGCCTTCATTTCTTTACCGCTGTCTTTGTTTTTCAGTTTCAATAAACACCATCATCATCATTATCAACCGCTTAAAGAGCACTCAAGGAGTGTTGGCAACATGGCTGCTTTCCAGCTTTTCTATAAAATCTAGTTATTTATTTAAAAACTTGTGAAAGTCACAAAGTAAAGTTTAAACGTACACATTTGAATTTTTGGTTCAGTAACTTATTAACTTAATTCAAATTATTATTATTTGAATTTTTTTGTTATTTAATTTAAAAAACATTTTTAAATAATAAACAAAAGAATATAAATAATTTACTGACAAAATAAAAAGTTTCCCCCATTGGTTTTAGCTAGTTCTAGCTATTAAAGTAGGGCTTTAGCTACGTTGGCAGCTCTGCACTCACCTCGACATCGATTTCATTCGTTTTGGTGAATATCTTCCAGGCCGGATTCTCCTTTGGCGTATAGCGATAGAACTCCCGTCTGCCGCGGTACCACTTCACCGTGTAGAGCGTGTCGTTCTCGATGTCATAATTGCAGATTAAGAGCGCATTATCGCCGCGCTTAACAGCGGACGGGATGCGAACGTTGACATTGCGCAGCCCCACAGTGAGACCTGTATAAAGAGGAAGAGAGAACGGGAACGTTGTAATGAGTTGTTGCTATGGGATCGGAGTGCTCAGAACGGCAGCAGCCCGGAGCGGCTTAAATATGACAAGTTATTGTGGCTTAATTATGATCCCTCAGAGGATTACACCGGATTTCACGCGCACGGCACCAACTTAAACTGCGCCTTACCAAGGGGTAAATCATGGAAAATAAGCCCAAAAATAAACAAACTTTTAAGATACATTATTATGCCATCCAGGCTGAAAAGATATTGCGAAATCTTAAAGCTTTTCATGGGAACACAAAGGCTGGGAATAAAAAGAAGCATTTCGTTAAAATATATTTCATACTAAAAATAAAGTAACACTCTTCGATAAAAATTATTCGAAACTTTTATTTACTTTTCAAATCATTTAATTATTTATGAATTATTCCGCTCAGTGTGCCGCATATCATCAGCCGTGAATAAAAAGTAGGTCACCGACCATGAAAACACCAAAAACCTACCAAAAATAAAAAAGACTCCATTGTATCAATAGCCCGCGGGTGTGAAAGAGACAGCCGGAAGAGCCGCACTCAAAAAGTTGATTATAAAAATACAATTGTGCGATCGCCAGTTGGAACGGCTGCCTGAAGCTGTTCGCCTGGTCGAAATTATAAAAAGCTTCCTAGAAAAATTAAAATCGAAAGTGACTGCCTCAGATGGGGCTGATTCTCCTCGAGAGAGAGCGGCGTAAATCATAAAGGGGCCCAACTTTTTTTTTGTATTTTACAACGGCAGATGATGAACAAGTCCACCATGTAGGAAATCAAGTTGGGGCAGGCGACCAGGGACTCAGGAATATTAGGTACTCGTCTGTCAAAGGTTGCTGGGCGGCTCCCCGAGTTCGTTGACCCCCGGGAAAGAAGCAAAGATTTTTTTCAGCACATTATAACAGATGACCGCACCGAATTAGTGGTGTGCGTATCTCTGTTCCTCAATTGCGAAAGTTTCTCTTTTGTTGTGGCACCCTTTTTGTATCTGATAAATACAGCTGTGATAGTTTTATAAAAAACAACATTTGTATTTGTGGGGAATTGGCAGCTAACACACATAATTATTTATATCTATTATTATCATTCAGAATGGGGATAATATTTTTTGTACGCACATATACATATAATTTTAAACACTTTAAGTTAATTTTATTCAAGTGTTTCTATCAGTTCTTCGGAGACTTTAGTTTCATCTAGGAAGCCAGCACTAGTGAGTTCCTAAATCGAGTATCCTAAAATAGCTATTTATAAATATAAAAAAAACAAACCGGTTTCTTGGGGTCTGTTTAAACAATTGCTTCTCCCCAGTTGGTAACTGAGTTCGTCGCCGTCTGTTCGCGGTTCGTTTCTGGTTAACCTTGAATACTAATTGTTGTTTCACGTTGATTTTAATGGCACTCGTTGCGTACGGAGCGCGTTGTCGTTTTGTTGTTTCCATATCAGCATAAAAATTTCATGCTGCCCCGTCTGCTTGGTAGCTGCTTTTCATCATCGCTGAACGCCGGATCGAAATAGTACGAAAAAACTAATCTCATCCGTATTGCCGGCTTTTCTAGCCGGTCGCCGATTGCTGGCCAGCACAAAATTTGCGTAAACAGAGCACTATTAGCTTAGCCGAATGGCGAGAAGGGTGCTTTTGGGCTGGGGAATTGAGAGCGAACATTCGTCGGATGACTATTTAGAAACCGTTGCTGTTCTATTTTGGCCAGGCCAACAGAAGAGGGCCAGCAACGCTGCTGCCAACTTGACGCTGCACGTATTTAACTCAAGGAAACCTTGGGCTTGTCGTCTCGATCGAACTGGAAAACCTTGGAAAACCAACAGCAGGCACCGGCATGGAAACAATAATAAAACAACAACAACGCCAATGATTCCAATAACAATGGATCCGGCGAGGAGCTCATAATCACCAAAAAGGGCACCTAGAACGGATAAGATAGATAGGTAACCATAATTGAGAATAATAGGCATAGGTGCTGCCTAGTAGTAGTGCGTTCTGTCGGATTTATATTTAGGAATAAAGCCTTTAACTTCTGTTCTTGTTAAAGCCAAAAAGCTAACAGGTTGATTTAGTAAAAATATGATGAAGTTAGAAAATTATTATATAATACATTTTTCCTAGAAATTCAAAGAGATGCCATAGTACTTTGTCGAATATGATAAGCGAACTCTGGCATATGTAGACTGCAATTTTCAAAAAATGTTGTCAGCAACAACGAACTTGCTTTTATTTATTTATTTTATCTTAAAAGAAATAAGAAATCGAAAAGATCCTATACCCAATTCTCATATTCCATACTGCAGATAATTCAACAAATAATCTCCCTTATAACAGGCAATACATCTTTCATGTGATTCGAAATTATCCCTCTCTGTGCCCAGACTCCTTTAAATACAGAGTTAAGACCCGCACTAAAAGCGACCTGCCCCGGCTGCTTCTTCGCCAACTCGCTCGTCCGTTGCATAATCATTGTTTAACTTTCGACACACATAAAAACAACAAAACACCGAAACCGAAAAGCAAGCAAATAAAAAACGAGGTCACCAGAAGCGAACGGCCAACCGAAACTGGAGTGTTAGCCACTTGGCGTTATGTTGGCCTGTTACTCGCTGCCTCTATATTATCGATCATGTTTTGAAAGCGAAAGTGAAGGCGGTGGTTGGGCAAGCCCAACAAGCTCATTCGCCGACGCACAGTGTCACATTTTAATCAGATATTTCGATAAAGTAAATAAATGGCATAGATTGGTTGATAAAGCGTAGGGATAATGAATTTGTAAAATCATTTTTAAACTTATAGGATTTATAAGAATTTTTGAAAAACTATACAAATTTAAGTGGCTCAGTAAATTTTAGTAATATGAAAAAATATATTAATATCTGAATCAAACTAGTTATGTCATTGTTTTCGGCAAATGCGTTCACTGTGTGTGGCAGATAGAGATATAGCCGAAGATACGACCGCAGTGCGGACTCAGATTCGGTTCGTTGTCTGGCTCTGTCTGGTCGCCTGGTCGTCGAGCAAAGCCGGCTATCGATTTCTACATAAAAAACGAAAGTGAATTTCATCTCAGTCAAATTCAGTGCTCTTCGCTTGGCCCAGTTTTGGGGCGCGTTCGCTGACCCCGGTTCGCCCAAGGTTCAACGCTCCAAGGTGAGTGGCCGCCAACGGTGTCACGTTCAGGGCCCGTCCCTGACCCACCAACTGTACTACCAGCACCTCCAAAACCACAGGCACCAATGATCGACGATTGAAAGAAAAATCAGACGCCTGTTGCACGAACCAGGCGATCAGAAAATTCAGTGTGTGACCCTTTAAAAATTGGTGCTTTCTTTTTTTGGTGGGTCATTGAACCTGGTTTCCGAATTTCGGAGATCGTTGACCGCAACGGTGGTGGGTGAGTGAAAGAGAAACAAGACGGCTGTTTGACAGAGATAGCAGTCGAGTGAGCAAGTGAGCGTTATAGTTGGTGTGAGCGAAAGGCAAACTGTTCGAGTATTTAGGTGCAGAGAAAACGCTGACACACTTTTGATGACATCAGCAATCGAAACGACAGTGAGAACTCGATAACCTAAACTTATGAATGTAAGTCTTTAAGTAAACTTTATTTACATATAAAATTAAATATTCATTGCAAAATAAATAATAAAAATATTTTTAAGTTTTATTTATACAAAATTTGAAATTTCTTATATATCAACACAAAAGAGAATAATGGTAAAAAAATTTAAAATTCACTACTGAGGTCAAAAAATATAATTTGATTTCATTTCCTAATACAAAAAAAGAAATGAATTGTTCAGTTCACCTTATAGCGATTTTCCAACCTCGACCAAACAAAGTACGCATATGGTATTATATTGACCGACATATTGTTACACAGACCCGTAGAACACATGGCTGTACTATATCTAGGCTATACTATACAATATCTGGGCAACCGAACATTTGTTGCTATTTATCGTCTTTCATAGAAGTCGCCCGGCAAAAGCGAGAGCTGAAAATGTTTATAAACTTTAGTATGCTTCACCCCCTCATGGCATAAAACATTAATTTTTTTGTTAAATACGAAATTATAAACTTTTCATACCAAGCGCCCAGAAACCGTTTGAAAGCCGTTTGTCGAGTGCATCTCGCACGCTCCACCCGAGTGGATAAGTGCCAAGGTTGACTTTTGACTCGTGGGGGAAAACGCTTGTGTAACTGAGCTACGGGCGGGGTCAGCGACAGGGACGGGGAGCGGAGGGGCGGGCACACACAGTTGATAAGCTATGGCATACAAAGCTGAAACGATATCCAACTTGGAACTAGCACTACGAAGTGGGTCCGCCCGCAGAGTTCCAGAGTCCGCCGTTCTGCGATCGCTTCTCTCAATTTGCATTCGGGGAAGCGCCGAAATCACTTTCCATTTATATTGCCGCTCTTCCACGCTGTCCATTTATCCAAAATCCCAGGCGTTCAGTGATCTAGTGGCAGTATTTTCGTTTTGGATAAATGTGATTTGTACAGTGCACTCGAAGAAAATGGGATGATACGCATTTAAATCTATTTATGAGGGGATATCAAGTCACTGTGTAATTTAAAAAAAAGGGCAACAAATTTTTAGTCTTCTGATATATGTATATCCAAGAAAATGTTTTATCAACGTAACGTAATTTCTTAATTAATCGTAATTTCTTCTTAATTTCTTGATGCAGAAATACACTAATATGCAACCTGCAAATATCTCAATATCTTAAAGTTTTGTCATTTCTTGAAAACTAAAAACTCAACTCAAATCTAAATGATAATTTACTAAAAACGTATAAAGTTTAAAGTATTTAAATAATTCACTTATTAAACATCGATAATAACTACAGTGTTTTGGTCAGTGTACCTAATGTTTAAACAAATTAGTCTAAAGCTCTGTGAGAGTGCCAATAAGCAAATTAACCCAATGCCAGACCCCCAGAGGTATTAAAAGCAAACGAATGTTTATATATGTATATATATATATATATATATATTATATACACCTGCGCACACAAGCATTATCTCCGCACACTCACACCCGGTCAAATGTGTGTGCATACGTGCGTATAGAAGTGGTGTGCGTGAGTGGGTTCAGTCATATTGCCACTTATCAGCGAAGACTCATCGCTCTGCTTTTCAACGCTGCTCGCCTATTCGAATTAGTACAAAATAATACCGTATTTCCTAGAAGTTTACGGATTCACCGTTACGCCGTACTCTCCAAGTGGGAGTAAGTGAGACGCCACGAAGTGCGGAGAGCAACAACAAAAGGGCAATTTAGTACAAAATTCACAAAGGAAAAATGAGCAAGTAAGTAAATAAAACGTATACGCTCCATTGGCTCGATTATAAGCAAGCGGTTGGCGGCCCAGCGTGTAAATGTTTTTATTTTGTTTATATAAAAATTTAACAACAATTCGAGTGAAAAAGTTTAAAACATTTTAAATAGTTTGCTAATGGAAACAGGCGACCAGCACTTACACATAGCTGACGATTGCACCGAAAAAGCGAAATACGAATTGAATTTCACATTCTTGTTGCTGTTTAGGTTGATTTTGTTTTCGGAAAAAGTTACGCGTCACCAGCGCTGGCTAGAAGTGATAAGTACTCGATCGTTGTTTTCGTTATACCCGATCCCTAACCGATTGCCACCCGCTTCACACAATGCCAGCGTATATATTCTCGCCTTCACTGATTAGCGCAAGCCATAAACGGGTCAAAGTTATAGAATTTAATTGTACGTTATTTAGAATTTTTATTAATTAAGTAATTTAGTATGATTTTTATAGAACTTACTCAAGCGGAAATCCTTCATGTACTATTTTTAATTAGTATTTAAAAATCTTAATCTTAATTATGACGCTTAAATATATTGAGTATTCTGTGACTATAGAAAACATTGTTGAATTATAAACTTAATTTAAGGAAGTTCTTTCATAATCCAGTCCAGATAGTTGGATAATTTTGCGAATAGAACAGGTTGATTATTCGGTTCCCAGCCTCTAGAAGATAAAGCGACTCCGGCCAGGACGGAACGCTGTCCGGCACAGTAAAGTCCGCCTCCAGGATTGTGGGGAGTGAACTCGTTGAACAAGTCAGCACCACAGAGAACATTGGTATCCATATTCAAACCTTGTGGAAGTTCAGCGATGCAGTCATCGTGAGTCATGACGGCATAGTTCCTGAACCACATTATGTCCGATTGGTCATCCGAGGAGGAATTGACAGAGGGGATTCTCCAGCCAGTTGTCCGGCAGGCATACTCCGTGAAAACGGTATCAGGATAGGGCACGCAGATAGGACTTATATGTGGGGAGTAGAAAGGCGCCTCCAGAATGATGAGGGCCAGCTTTTCGTGGATCGCAATGCTCCTTACCGAACGACTTAGGTGCGAGTACTTCTCCACAGCCCCCAGCCTATCCCAGTCACCAGCCTCCACTGTGAGCTGATCTCGCGTAATATTTGCTATCGGATCTGCTGCAGTGAGCACCACATCATATCGGATTAAAGTTCCTACGGCTATATATCTCCCATCGGTGTAGATGGCAGTCGTCCAAGGATTGCCTCCGATATGTGTCTGGAAAGTTCCGTTGATGGAAAACGTTCCCAGACGATTGGAGGGTATACCACATATGTTGGAGTCATTTAGGTCCAAGAACTCCTCCTGAAGAAATCGATGAAAATTTATTCCATTCTTCATTTCATACTATTTTTTCAGATGACTTAATAAAGAACCTTTTAAAAAATGAAATCATAAGTTGCGTTCAATGCGTTCTTACTTTTCTTTTTGGCCCTCTTGTTGTTTGCTCTTCATGATTTTTGGGTGGCGCCCCGAATCCCGGGAAATCATCATGTAGTTGCTGGGGCAAGCCGATCGCACAAATCAAAATACTGGCGATAAGCATACATTTAAAGAGTAAACTGAACGGGTGCCACATTATTTGATGCCGAGGCTTTCACGATTATTTCCTTCGAACTGTATCAGTCGGAGGCTGCCGGAGAACTGACTTAAATCAGCAATGCACTTAGTGTTCCGGTTTTATTAGTGCACCACAATCAGGTTGTTATTCTGCTTTTGTGCGTGTAATTCGATACGAAGGCCAAAGAAGAAGTCGTCGTCTACTCCACGTATAAAACTGGATGTCTACCGGACCAGCAAGTATTATCACAATACGTAAGTATTAAAGTTTCATGAATTTACATTCGCTTGCCCAACATACGCAAATTCCGATTTGATTACTCAGAACCTGAACGAATCTGAACTCAAATTTTTGTTCAGTTTTCGCAAGCTCGTATTCAACATAATTAATAAGCTAAGTAGCAATATTATCTTTAAACCATGTTGTTTCTATAACTTTTCATTTGTATATAAATGGTTCAGTATTGACGTGAAATTATTTATATAGCCTGGCAAAAAAAAACATTGACCGGAATAAGTTGGGTGACATTCGCCGTTGGCATCTCGACTTTTTCACGTTATTTCCGTAAAAATCACGTGTAAGCCAACCGAGCCTGCAGCTTGGTGTCGACAAAGGTGAGACACCTCCGTCATGTGCCCTCATCCGCATCCCCATCCTCGTCCTCGTCATCCGCATTGCTCGAGGGCTACTTTGCACTGTGTCAGGTGGGTTGGTCCTGCTGCCTGTTGCACTTTTTGCACATAATCACGTCACATAAACGGACGACAGGCCAGGATATGAACAACAAGCTGGCGCTCCCTTTCATCCTGGCGACATGTGACGCTTGGCTTTAGATGGCCGCAAAAATAAAAATGGAATGAAACGGAAGGCAGGGGAAAAACAGGGCAAAGAGTCGTGGGACCTTCCAACTTATTTCTCGACAGCCTGCTCCTTTCTCGCCGGGCTTTTCACTTTATGTTTATGTTGTGTGTTGTGGGCTGTGACGTTGGCCACTGACACTTTGCTCCTGCCGCCGCTCTTCCTTCAGCTTTTCCGGCTCCTGTCGCCTGTCTCGTAGTTTTCGCAAGCGGATGCGACCGGGACACCAGGACACATGGACACCTGGACACCGGGACACCTGGACACGCTGGGTGTTAAAATAACAGGCACCGAACATATTGACTTTTAAAATAAGCATTATGGCGGTAAATTTTTATGAAGCCCCCTAACGCCCCCACCCATGGATTCTTGTGATCCTGACGCTGGGTGCTGTGTGCACCGGACAGCTGAGTGATTTATATATATTGTTTAATATTATTATGGCTGGCAGGTGGCCATTGGGCCCCGCTTTCGCCTTGGCCTTGTTCCGTCCGACGGATGTGCAAAATGCGAAAAATTGAGCACATTACAAGCTTGGACTCCGACTCTATATCCGTATCTGTGTCCATGTCCATGTCCAGATCCTCGTCCATGTCCACGTGTGGTTGGCAATAATTGTTAAAGTGTGTGGTTGGATGGGAAGGATGAGGGGCGAAGTGATGAAATGATGGCCTTTCGAAACGGTAGCCTGGAATCGCGGAAGTTTTCTTGCCGCTTGTCAAGCTCGAGAGGATTGGGCTTGTAAGCCTTAAGAGCAGTTAATGGTAATTGCAATTATCCAGCGAGCTTTATTGGTTAATGAATAAGCACCGACATAATGTCCTTGAGCTGGAGGGATGATAATGGGCCTGGCAGATTGCCCATCTGGAGTTAAATGCAATAATCTAAGAATCAGTTTGAAGATACGAAATTACGGCATGGTCTTCTTAAAAAATCCTATATCAGAAATGTATGACGCTATATTTACACAACTTTCTTACTTTAACTATCTCATTAAGTCTCAACAATTCTACATAAATTTTCAGAGTATGCACTCGGAATGAAAGTATTTTTCATATTACAAAATGAAATACAATTAAATATGGATTTAAACACAAATTCGCCACTAAAAAGTTGATTAATGCATTGCTCGGAACGAGAGGGAAATCAATTAATAAATAAGTAAATGTGCCCACAATTAATTTTCATTTTGCGACAAGCCCACGTCGTTTTGCCGCCCGATTGATTGCATTTAAAATGTGTTTGTTCAGCACCAAGGGGATATTTTTCACTCGGCCAAAAAGTATGCCGCATTTAATGCAACACTTTTTGCCCCGATGCTTTCTGGCGACTGAGAGTTTTTCAAACGCATAACTGCTGTGTGTTTGCTCGTGTCCTGGCAAATCATTTGGGTAATTATCGTCTGCAAAAAATGCCTCGGCGTGAGAGCTTAACCATCAGTTCGAGTTGTGCAACCGGAATGACGGTATAATGCTGTAAGAGGATTAATAATAAGTTTCAGCAATTAAAACTGGTAAATAAATCTACAAATAATCATATTGCATTCGTGTAAATGTAAGAAGGATTAAAACGGTTAAATTAGGTGCGTTTTATCCTTTTTAAATAAATCCGATGGTGTGGCAGCTTTTAAATATAATTAGCTTCTTTTTAAACTTAAATACAAAAATATCTGAAGTATACGAGGTGTGTTCAAAAAGTAAGGTGACTTTTCAAATTTCGCGGGCAACATATTTTCGATTATCGATTTTTTTGTTTTGTTATATTGGTACACTCTTCCCTAACATCTGTACCAAGTTTCAATGGAACATCCTCTTTTGTTTGGTTGTGAGAGTCATAACTGGTGACGAATCATGGGTATATGGTTATGATATCGAAACCAAAGCCCAATCGTCCCAATGGAAGAGCCCAGGCGAGCCAAGACCGAAAAAAGCACGCCAAGTTCGATCAAATGTCAAAGTTTTGATCACTGTTTTCTTCGATTACCATGGCGTGGTGCATCAGGAGTTCTTACCATATGGTCGTACGGTCAATAAACAGTATTATCTGGAAGTTATGCGCCGTTTGCGAGAAGCAATACGAAAGAAACGTCCAGAATTGTGGAAAACAATTCATGGCTTTTGCATCACGATAATGCCCCTGCTCACTCATCTTTGCTTGTGAGAGATTTTTTGGCCAAAAACAACACCACAATAATGCCTCAGCCACCATATTCACCGGATTTGGCCCCATGTGACTTTTTCTTGTTCCCAAAACTGAAGAGACCTATGAAAGGACGGAGATTTGCAACGATTGAAGAGATAAAGACTGCATCGCTGCAAGAGCTCAAGGCTATACCGAAAAGTGCTTATGGGAAGTGCTTTGAGGATTGGAAAAACCGTTGGCATAAGTGTATTGTATCTGAGGGGGATTACTTTGAAGGGGACAACATAAATATTGATAAATAAATTAATAGTTTTTCTTGAAAATACAAAGTCACCTTACTTTTTGAACACACCTCGTATATCAAATATCGAAGTTGCGTAAAATTAACTGTAAAATTAAATTAAAAGAACACAATGAAGGAATCGAAACCCTTCCAAAACGTGTTGACACTTCAATTACTCTTGGTTTTGGTTTGGTTTCTAATAATCTCCCTGAAGTTTAAAATGATTTACTGATTTAATAGAAATACCGAACAAGACAGTGTACGTTTTGAAACCAGAGCGGAAGCCACACCATGAAGCTAACCTCAAAGTGTAATTGAGGCCTCCTGGTGGCTGTTTGGTGGTTTCAGGTCCGCGGCGGTGCCAATTAGAATCCAGAAGTGCTGAGGTGAGCCATTTCAAAGGAGAGTAGGCCCCGCTTCTCCGCTCGACTCTGGGCTTTGAAATTCAATTCGAAAAATGAAATTCAAGAATCAAAAGAAACACCGTCCGCTCGACCCAATTAAACAAGCTCTACGAAAATTTGCACGTGGTGAGTAGTAAAAGTTATTAAAGTTAAAGTTGGAAGTTTTGTACTTTTAATTAAAAATTAAGATTGTATGCTTTAATTAAACTGCTCTTCAGCTTTTGAATTGGAAATTCATCTCGACTAACAATACCACTTAATACTCTACAGTTCTTGGCAAAGCCTTTTTATACCTGGGCACTCCTCCTTTGTGTCCAATCCACCAGTCGAGCGCCCTGACTCTGATCCACTGCCACTATCTGGGTGTCTGCCCGATCTGCACCCGGAGTTCCTTTTCCGGATACGTTACACCATGTTTGAGTCCGTACTCTTCGTACTGCGACAATTCTACAGCTTCGTCTGTCCCATGCAAATCTTCTATGAAATCGAGGAAACCGAACAAGTTGGGAACCAAGAGGAGTGGAATATCTGGAAGGAGCTTTGAGATTCGACGGCATGACAACCAAACCAATTGATTAATGGCTGGTAGAGCGGAAGCTGTTTGCAATAAAGAGATCTCTCGTTTTCCCACTTGAGCCACCATGGTTACTCGACTCCGATTCGCACATAATTTTCGCATAAATTGTCAAATAATTTAAAGCCCTGTCATTGAGCAAGAGTCAAGGTAACCTAAGCCGTCAGATTAAATTTATTGCTCCTCGTTTTTGGTTATGCGGAGCGGAGTGGGTAATGGTGTCTCTTATCAGGCATCATTGAGTGTCGTTGAAACGCCAGTAATTGCGTATTAAAATTATACTCCGGGGACTATTTGTTTAATGAAATGTAGCCGTGTCTGTGAGCTAATTAGGTTGTCGTTTGCCAAGTATTTATGCAAAGTAATTGAAGAACTACACAGAGCTCCTTGGGGGGCATAGTTCTTGTAATCCCCATCAACTCCAAGCTTATTTTAATTTTCCACTCGAACGGAGATCCTTAATCAGCACACATAACTGTTGATGCACTAGGAAAGGTGTCACCATCCAACTGGCTGCTTTGAAATTCAAATGTTGTTCCTTTGACCCACCTTTGGCCCCCATTCCCATTTCCATTGCCATTGCCCGAACGCAGCCTGAGCATTTCAATAAGCCAGGTCCAAGTTGCAGGCCCAGACGTCAATCTGCCGACTCTCGGGCAATTTGTTTAGCTTGTCGAACCACCCACATGTCGACCAAGTCGTTTCGAGCAGCCTTGACATGTTTCCCGCCCTTTTAGCCAGTCTTTTCTCGCCGCCCCAACAGTTGACACAATTTGACTTTTGGCATCCGAACGTTCGAACAACGCCCTGAACTTTTGAACTAATCTATTTGTATTTGTTTAGCTTGGCAGCGATAAAGTTGACATTGTGTTGTCGTGCCTTCGCATGTGTGTTATTTTGCCCGAAGCAGGTGCAAAATTGGTGTGTGTGTGTGAAAGTGCCAGGTGAGTCAAGTCGTCAGGTTGCCCTTGATGGCTTTCTTAGTGGTACATTCTCTTTAAGAAAGACAAAGATGGTTAAGGAAAGCCAAAGTGGGGGAGTTTTATGCTTTATATTAAATAAATCAGCTTTATTTAAAGTTTATATGCCACTGTAATGTCTTTAAGCTGTACAACTTGAGATCTTGATATCTTCTAGTTCATGATTGTAAGCGGAGCTGCCTTTCCCAGATTATCGCAATTGCATTAACGTTACAGATACGGCATTGCTTTGCCAATTATGGGGCTGTTTGAGGCGCCGCCCCTTCCGTTTGCTGTCATTAATACCGCAAATTAGTCCGGAAAGTGGAAGTAACCGGAGGAGAGAGCCGGGAGTGGATGGCCCAACTAATAACTTCTACTTGCGTGAACAGCCCGTAAACCAATTTCTCCCGGCTGTGCTTTCATTAGCACTGCCTCAATGGCTAAGGCCCACGGATTTCCAAGACTCGTCCTTGGCTCTGGCCGAAACGATTATTGGCCTCTACCCTTGTGCTAAAGTTAAAGCCTCCACTCCACTGATTGCCAGATTTGTTAATTATGCACGTTATAATTAATGCTCGCTATCCTGGTCTGACCTGCCGCCCCCTTGATCGCACTATCCTCTCGCTGGCTAATTGTCCATAAATTTGTCAGCTCAAAATATCATCGCCCAGCCCCGAGAATAGGAAACCAAAGCCCGAGAAGCGCCCTGCTGTCATGCTGGCTGTCAGTTGCGCTTAATGCTTAAATGAAATCTAATCACGTTCTAATTTCAGTTAAGTGTGACAGCGAGTTGGACGACCCGCCCCTGGAACCCACTATTCAGACCCCCGATCCCTCATCTTTGATCCCCCCATTCAGTCCGTTTCCGTTTCTCGTCGTCTTGTATTTCATTTCCGTCATTTAAGTGGGCCACTCCCACTTCGTCTGCTGTATTATTCTTTTTGGCGAAGTGCCAGTCGGGAAAATTTGCATTCAATGAAGGCGACTGACCTGCAGTCGAAAAAAGGATATTTTAGGGTTATATTAGGAGTCTTAAAGAGTGCTTAAGCTTTGATGAGCTCAGTTTATGGGGGTTATAAGAATGCCAATAGGAAATATCAATTTTTATTTACTAACTTTATAAAGTCTCTTACTAAATAACTATGTTTTCCTATTTATGAATATTTCAGTTCTTTTTCTTCAAATTTTTAAAGTTACATTATCGATTACCTGATGATATACACATTCATTTTAAATGCTTATTAGGTTGTGTATCATTTTCTCCATACTAATGAGCAGAGTTAAACTTTGGGTTTTCCTCGTCTGGCGGAAAAGTTGCTTTAAATTGCGCAACTGGCGTTAAATCTCTCATGACCGCATCCAGCATCACTGCATGTTTCATAACTTTTCATTTGAAAATGATGCCAGAGGGGCCGGGAAACTATTTCGTTTTCAAATTAGCAAACGGTTTTCCCTTCGAAAATCTAGTTAATTAGCGCTCAACAACAAACAACTCGGGGAGAAACAGCAACAGCTCCAGCATCATCACCGTCATCATCATCATCGCTTTGAGCAGGCGGCAGTCGCAGAACTTTTTTTGGACGCAAAATAGTTGGAAAACTGGAGGGAAAACTGCCCTGAACAGCCGCCCACTGGACTCCAAAAAGTATGCAATGCGAAAGTGTTCGTGAATTAAGCAATTAGGCAAGTCGAAGAAAACGGAACAAAATAAGAGCAGGGAATTGCGAATTAGCCGGCATCCCAAGTTGCCTATATTGTTGCACAAGTCTGACGTTGACCCGCTGCTAATTGACCAATATTCCCGTTCTCGAATCATCGCCATCAGGATGAGCTTCTTGAGTTTGACTGCGGTTTCGACATCGGTATCGGTTTGGTTCTGACATTGGGATGGTAATTGCAATCGCTGGAATTCCATTTCCACATCGAACCCCAGACGTTGCGGGGACACAGCATAAATACAGCCAATAAATTGAATTTATTCCAGCAAGCTACCAATTCCAATTTTGAGCATTAGTTTCCCTTCTTTGGTTCACCCAACGAGGGACTAGTGACTTCTTTGTCGAACGAAAATAAAGTAAAAAGAGGTAAGGAATGTATATAAGTTAACGTGGTTTGAAAACAATAAATAATTATTGCAATTTTTTATAAAGCTTGTGCTTGATAAATCGTATGAGATATATATAGTTTTCAGCTTAGTAAAGAGTATCTGGCATTCGAATTTTGTAAATCTTCTTCTTTTTGCTGCCTTCTTTTCGACTGCTTTTTGGCACATTGCTTATTGATTATTTTTACTAATTTATGTGCTAATAAAATTGTCAATTTGTATGCGTGCAGCGGCGGTTCCCATTGAAGCGGATTCCATTCCTGCGAGTAGCTGCGATATTCTGGCGAAGGATATACTGAACGTGGAGAAAGCACGGAGGAGGGTGAGTGGCTGACAGAACCATTAGACTTAAGTGTCTCCTGCTGGCCAGCGGATGTCTCCCTCTAAGGCCTTAGCTCCGTCTCTTTCTCAAAGGGCAGAGAGCCAAAGGCGCTTACAAATGACGCTGCAGGACATTTCTGGTAATGATTTTCCGTCGAAAGCCAGCCAGCTTTGGCTTTAGTTTCACATTTTCGCCGGGAGAAATCTCACCCATTCACTGACTGTCCAATTTTGTCTCTCCTGCGGTCCGAAATCCTGAACTGGCTTATTATGCCGCGTTTGAGTTTAAATACGGCCGCAAGGATTTTGACGATTGCCTTGGGGCTATTGATAATCTTTCGCTTAGTATTTATGCAAATGCTCTGGAGAATTATGGCAAGTTTGGGAATTGAATATCAAATGAAGTGACTGGAGGCAGGCATTGAATGCAGGTTATCTCTTGGGAATTCCCATATTAATTCAATTTCAATGAAACTTATTGAATTATTTAAGAGTTAAAGTATGTGCATTAAAGCTGACTTCATATTATTTAAAATCAAAATTAAGTTGTTGGTTCTCTTAAATTATTGAAAACTTTAAAGAGCCAACCTTCCTTCCCTTTGAGCTCCAACATATTTTCTAGGTTGGCAATTCCATCACAGGAACCCATTCTGCCCTTCTCTGCCTTAGCACCCTGACATAAACAATATTTTTGCACATTTCCCCTAAGCACCCAGTTCCACTTAGCAACCTTTCTGGCCTTCAGCTGAGGAGCGCAGCTTTTACACCATTTGTGCCACATCGAAGTGGGTGGGAGAAAGGGGATCCTTGAGCTAACCACTTGATGATGAAGACATTTTGCCAGCTAAAAAATCGTATTTACAACATAATTTACGCTTAAAGCCAGTAAAAGGCGACGGAGGAGGTGGAAATGGAAGATGAGGAGGATAGACCCAGGCTGTGATGGAATGTGGGCCAAAAGGGTGGACCCGGAGTAGTAAGCCCCATTCAAAGTGCCGCCACTCAAGTGCCACTTTGCCGTAGTTGTGCCAGGCCAGGCTCCTACTGAAAAATAGGACAATTTCATGCCCTTTAATGGCAAACTTTTAGTGGTCAATGCAATGGCTGCCGCAACAACATCATCAAGATCCGGACGTTACCACGGCCTCAATAGAGAAATGGCAAATGAAACTCCGTTCTTCCCGTTAAATTATGTAAAAATATAATTCTCCTTAAAAGAAAACGCAAAAAAAAAAAAAAAAACGAAAAGGAAAAGCATTTGGTAGTGCGATGGGGAAGTGACGGAAAGGAAGGTGAAAATTGTATTACACGAAGTCAAGTCGAGTTCTGCACTCGCTGCTGTTTTCTGCTTGCCGCCCTTTGATGTCGTTGCGCGAAAATTGAATAAAAATAAAATTGTAATGCGTTTGCACTGCGGCAGATGGTTGGTGAGTTTGCGGTTGAGAGCTGAATGAAAAGGAAATTACGGGAAATTTTGTAAATTAATGAGATGTTAAGAGGGGACGGCAGGCGAACCAACTTGGCGTAATTAAAAGCGCCAAACCACCATAAATGGGTAACTTTCTTAAAAAGGACAGATATTTAACATATAAATATATAATATAATCTGTGTAATGGCAACAGCCAGCTTAATTCTTTCTTATCGAACTGGTACTTTTTCACTTAAATTTCATGATAGATAAGAAAGCTCATACATACATAGCAAATTTTCCTATTCGCAAACACATTTATGGGACTTATTACTCATCATGGGTGGAATGAATTTATTGATT